TTACTAAATTGTGAAGGTCTTGCTAAGTTGCTGAGGCTGTCCTTGAATCTGTGATCCTCCTGTCTCAACCTCCTGAGACACTGGGATCACAGGTGTAAGCCACTTCATACTTCATTTCTTATAGGGCATATATAGTGATATCTTAATTTCTCAATTTCAAAGGACAGTTTTGCTAAGTATAGGAGTCTTGGTTGCTCCCCCACCCCCACATTGCCTTCCCAACTCCAAAATTTCTGATTAGAAATCTGCTAATAATCTTATTAAGGATCCATTGAATGTAATGTATTTCTTTTTTGTTTTACCTTGCAGGATTTAGTGCTTTTAGATTCTCTCTTTGTCTATAGCTTGTGAAAATGTGGTTATAATGTTTCTTGGTGTGAGTCTGACTTCATCTTTAAGTTTATTGAGTTTTTTGGCTGTTATATATTCATGTCTTTCATCAAATTTGGGACGTTTTCAGTCATTATTTCTTCAGATATTCTCTCTGCTCCTATTCCACCCCCATTCTTCTTGAATTACCTCAGTGCCTATGTTCATCTCTTTGCGGGTTTCTTATTATCAGCCTTTGTTTTCTTTAGTCTTTTTTCTTTTTGTTCCTCAGACTCTGTATTTTCCATTGTCCTAAGCTCGATGACTCTTTGTTTTGACTGCTCAAATCTGCCTTCAACTCTCTAGTTAATTTTTCATTTCACTATTATGTATTTGAGCTCCAGAATTTATTTTTAGTTTCTTTTTAGGTTTTGTCTTTACTAAATGTTCCATTTTGTTCATACATTGTTTTTCTGTCTTTTTCTAATGTGTCTCCTAGAAGATCATTTTCAGAGATAGTTTTTGTTGATATTTTTAGTGTCCATTTACCTCCACTCTCCCCCCATTTACCCTCCCTATTCTGGAGGTATATAAGTATATATATTGATTATATAAGTGACCCTGGGTAGTGTGATGTGTGCTTTATCCGGAATTCACCCACTCCCACCTTTCTGACCCCTCTGCCCATCCCCACATCCCTTTAACCCTTCTTGTGATCCACTTGACTCCATTCTCCCCCATTTTCCCTCCCCACTCTAATCAATAAATCTTGATTACTTCAGGTAATATTGATATTAATAATGAAGTTTGTTTTGTCACTGGAGTTGCTGTTGGTTGCTTTATTATTATGAGCTACTGGTGGAATAAATTAATTGATTCCCTGGAGGTGTTTTGGGTAGTTAAGTGACCCTGGGTTGTATGATGTGTGCTTGGTCATACTTTTCTTTTGTTGTGTGTGTGTGATTTTTGTTGTTGTTGTTGAAAAGTGAATATTTGGCTCTAATAATGTAACTAGCAACCAGATTCTCCTTTCTCCCAGACTTTGGTGTATTTGGGGTTTTTTTTTGTTTGTTGTATGCTGTCTCTGTGTCCAGATTCAGCCCACTTAAGATCTTATCAGGTGTTCCCTGTGCCTTTTCATGGACATGTAGAGTAACTTTCCAGTTTTCTGCCCATATATAATGGTTCCCATCTTTTAAATCTGAAGTTCCTTCAGATGGAGGGGAAAGGGACCTGCAATAATTTAAGAAGTATGGCAGTAGTCTCCTGCTTGTTTATTTTTACCTTTGTGATTAAAGCATTGGTCAGCAAACAGTTCCCTGATACTTGGAGGAAGAGTCCTTTTTGTCCACTCTGACTCTAGCATGCTGTTTGCAAGCTCTTACAAGAATATGTACACAATTGCCTACCAGCACTTTAAGTAGCTCCTTCTATGCTGAGGTGAAATGACCAAAATTAATTAATTGAAATTTACCATGCAAGCCTTTCCCTGGAAATTGCAAGCCATCAATAGAATCCAGCTGAACACATTCCAAGATCCCCCAAGAGATACCTGACATCACAGACAGTACAAGTTTTGCTTTCCACAGTTTCAGTTACCCATAATCAGTCAAAACGCAAAAAATATTAAATAGAAAATTCTAGAAGTAAATAGTTGAAATGATGGAATCTCTTTTATTAATAGTATATTGTTATAAATTTTCCATGTTCTTATTTAGTGTGTATATATATATATATATATATATATATATATATATGTAAGGGAGAACGTATATTTAGGCTTTGGTACTATCTGTGATTACAGGTATCTTCTAGGGGATCTTGGAATATATTCCTCATGGATAAGGCAGTGCTGTTGTAGTTATATTAGATATATTTAGCCAATGCCGTTGTCTGTGTGGGAAGACACAGTATTTGTGCTTCCCCAGCTGCCATCTTCTTCTAAATATTATTTCTCAACATGATTTTTAATGAGCTCATAGACTTGCATTGAATAGTTGTAACATAATTTATTTTACCCATTTCCAGTTGTTTGTTAAATTAGCTTTAGCTAATTTGGGGGGGTTAGTTAACATTTTTAGAGATTTTCACACACATTTAATAGTTTTCTTCTGTCCTTGTTAATCAGAAACCTTGACCAGAAAGATAGAAAAAAATATTATTAAGTATAATGACATTTTTTTTAAAAGGTGCTCTTTAGCTGATTCTGGAGCTTTTGTATGTGAACCCTCCCACCCCCAAGTGATGAGAATTTTGTAGAATCTTCACCCTTTGGCTTGTGTATCTGGCCTCCTTGATTAATCCTATATTTTATTTATGATGAGTCTGTCTTTTTTGTGTTTTGACCTGTTTTACTTTGTATTACAAGAACCAGTCTCTCCTGCTTCTTCACTCCTAAATCTATCACTCATAAAGAATCTTGAAGTCATATTTATTTTCCTCTTTCTTATAAACTGCACATGTATTCTATCATGTCATGTATCAACTGTACTCTGAAATGTTGTCTGGAAAATCTCATCTCTGCTAAGTACTTAGAATTTTATACTGCTTGAAGACATCGTTATCTCTTGCATGGTTTATTGAAGCAACCTCCTGAAACAATCTCCTAGTTTTTGTCCTTTGCTTTCCAAATACAGAGTGATTATTTTAGTATATAATGTGACTCATAATCAGTGTTTTGCTTAATATCCTCCTGTTTCTAATTCCTAATTCTTGTTGAAAGGCAAAAATTCTTAACACTACTTAAAAGGTACAATGTAACATAGTTTTTTTCTTCCTCTCTAACTTGCTCTCTTTTCATTCTTTACCTGCTTATTCTACTCCAGCCTTGTTGGCTTACTTAATAAAGCTCACTAAGAACATACATATCTCTGGGACTTTGTGTTTGTTCTTCTCACCAACTAAAATGTTCTTACAAATAACTGTTTAGAACCTTATCAATGAGGTTTTCCCTAATGGTCTTATTTTAAAAGTCTAGTGTATTTTAACCTTTCTTTGTGTTTAATTTTTCTCCTTACCATCTATTATTCAACACATAGTATGTTTTGTCATGTGTTTATTGTTGTCTCCTCCTACCTGAATGTATGCCACTTAATGGTAAGGATTTTAGTTTAGTTTTGTTATGTTTATGTCCATTGCTAGAAAAATAATTGACATGTAGTTGCTGCTAAGGAGTTATTTTAAAATCAATGAATGAATGTGTCCTCCTGCATTTTTGTTTGTGTTATTGCTTATTTAATTTTCTGGAAGCTTTTTGTTATTAAGTTTGCTTTCTCAATGTTTATTTTTATAGCATATTATTTTATAAATGGAACATTTTCTCTTCTCTTGAAGAATATTACTGGCAGCCCCCCCCGCCAAAAAAAAAACAGATATTTTTCATGCCTGGACTGGTCATTCGTTAGGTTGTTATGTCTTAATTATTTTGGTTTCTGTTTCATACTAAGAATTTTCCTCAGGCATCTACTGAACATTGGTCAACTATTTTTAACACACTGGAAAGCTCTTGGGAATCTCCGATTAATTTGGGTGGGTGATATCAATTCCTGGAACAATCGGTATTTGTTTTTTGGCTAGTCAGAGTCTCCACAGGAAAAAAAAAAATTTAAATATTTATTTTTTAGGTATAGATGGACACAACATAATACCTTTATTTTTATGTGGTGCTGAGGATCGAACCCAGTCCCCTGCCCGTGCTAGGCAAGCGCTCTACCGCTGAGCCACATCCCAGCCCTTCTCCACAAAAATTTATTCTTTATTCCTGGCATATATAATTCCAGTGGTTAGCATTCTGTTTGGGTAAGAAGACTAAGAACCTCTATTTTCAGTATTGCCCTTAACTTCTATATAGTACTACTATCCATTCTTGTGCGTAGTGCTGCCTAGTTCACAGGACTTTGTTTTATACCCTGCCTATGTAAAGAAGCAACAACCAAAGCCTGAGAAAGCAATATGCTTTCTATATACAAAGATGTATTGCTGTTTTTTCTTAGTATATTTTATTCTTAAGTGTTAATTCTTTAAAATTTATGTTATTACTGTTTTTATGGGCTTTTGGAAATATCCAAACATGTGTACAATTTATCTTTACCTTAAAAGCCCTTTGATAATTTTACATGTTTTGTTCATTCTTATTTCCCTAATGCCTATAATAGTGTTCAACCCCTAGCAAAAGGGCTATATGAGTGGTGTGTGTGTGACCAAGATCCCAGGGAAAAATTAGATATTCCATTGAATGGTATGGCCTGTTAGGATTGTAAATTCCTTTGGTAGCTTTGGAAGTTCTAGTCTAAGAAAGAGAAAAGCCATTGTTATTATTTATTGATTAATAGCAATTATTTAAAGATATGAGTAACACCTACATGACATTTGTATGTGAATGTGCCAGAACCCACAGAAACTTTTCTGAATTGAGAAAAGATTAATCCTATTGATTGATAATCATTTTCTGATGTCTTAGCATTTTTTTTGAATCTTTTCTTTTGGGGGTGTGTGTGTTGTGCTGGGGATTGAACCTAGAGCCTTGTGAATGTAAGGCAAGCACTTTACCAACTGACCTATATCCTCAGCCCAGCATTTTTTTGAATCTTTAGTCTTTAATGTTTTATTTGACTTATTTTGTCAGTGTAGAGGGCATTAATTAGCGATATCTTAATTCACTAATGAAAAATATACTGTATATTTTTTTACAGTGATACATTTGATATTGCCTGGAATGTCAGAACTGGGATTCACCATAGCAGATTACCAAGTAGCACCTCCTTGCGTGATAAAGATGGGATATTTGCTAATTCAGCTAGCAGTAAACTACTGGAAAGAGCCCATGGAATTCTCACGTCAGTATTGATGAATAATATGGATTGTTTTGTTATGATTGGTTTATAATTTTTGGCTGCAAAAATGGGAAATGGTGAAGTATTATTTTTATGAGTATAATTTTTGGTGGGGGTCATACTGGGGATTGAACTCAAGGGCACTCCACCATTGAGCCATATCCCCAGCCCTATTTTTTGTTAATTTAAAGACAGGGTCTCACATAGTTACTTAGCATGTCACTTTTGCTGAAGCTGGCTTTGAGCTTTCGATCCTTCTGCCTCAGCCTCCCAAGCTGCTGGGATTACAGGCATGTACCACTGTACCTGGCTCATGAGTATAATTTTGATAGATATGTTCCACAAAGCATACAGTCAGTATTTAGAACATGAATCTAACACATTATTACATTGGTGGTTTTGCTGTTTCAGTTTTCCATATCACCAAAATAATTATGGAGATGATTATTGCTTTTGACAGATCTCACATCTTAAAGAAAGAAAAAACTTAGTTTTTGTTTATTTTAGAATTCCCAGTTGTTACTGCAATAATTAATCTTCTTTAAAAACATTTTTTGTAGTTGTAGATGGACAGAATAATATTTAGTCTTTAATTCTGAAAGTCTTAATAGTTGGGCAGGACATACATTATAAATGGAGTGATACCATATATAGTAGTATATAACATTTATCTAAGCCTGCCATTCCGTTTTACCTGACCATAGCACTGGTTTGAGGATACAGATATATAATCATGCATGTGGTACCAGTAAAAAGTTTTTAGTTACCAGCATTAACAAATTTCAGATGCTTAGGAAGAGGTGTGAAAAAAATGATTCCTTAATCCCTAAGTCCTTGCTTAACAGTATTAATAGACTAATATAGGCCTTGCTCTGTTCCAGAAATGTGTAGTAACTCTTTTAATTCTCACAACAGTTTTAAGAGGTAGGCGGTATTATCACCATAATTTAACATTATAACAATGAAAATCAAGGCTTATAGAAATTAAAATTATACCTTAATAGGTGACATTGGACTTTATTCTCTATTTCAAGATATAGGTATGATACTGAGCTTTTGAATAAGAAAAAGAATGGAATAATTATTCTTTTTTTTTTAAAAAAAAAGTTGAAGTAAAACAGGAATCTTCTGCATTTTTTTATACTTTATTTTATTTGTTTATTTATTTTTATGTGGTGCTGAGGATCAAACGCAGTACCTCACATGTGGTAGACAATTGCTCTACCTCTGAGCCACAACCGCAGCCCCTAATTTTTCATTTGAGACATTGTTTTGCTGAAAAATGTATTTTTGAAAGATTTATGAAATTTAGGCACTTCATTTATAATTCTGAAATGTCAGAAATCTTTTGTAGTTAACAGGAAAGTGGATGCCCTACTTACATCCAAGAAAATGAAACTGTACTTTAGATTGGACAATATTGCACTAATAATGATCAGACTTCCCCCTTTTCCTTTCTTACCCTTCTTAAAAGCATCTGCTTTATTGAACCAGGTAATATTTTCATATAGAGGATCTGTGTTCTTAGAAATGGGTAATACATTGCTTGATTAGAGACCTTGAAATCAGTCACCCCTACAGTATCAAGTAACAAGTATCTTATCTTCTTAGGAGAAACAAAAACTTCAGATCCAAGCCTGCTCTTCCAAAGGTGAGTTTTGTGGGAAAAAAAATTTTTTTTTGTTAGTAGTCTCTTAAATACTGCACTGCTTATTTTTTAAAATTTCTCATTCAAGCAATCGTGATTAAAGATGAAGAATGCCTTATTAAGAGCCAAGATAGGGAGTATATATACTTAGCTGAATCCATTTAAGAAATAACATTGAGTTCATCTATTCCTCCCATGTTCCCTCTCCCTATCCCACTATGAATCAGCCTCCTTATATCAAAGAAGACATTCTGCATTTGGTTTTTTGGGATTGGCTAACTTCACTTAGCATTATCTTCTCTGACTTCATCCGTTTATCTGTAAATGCCATGATTTTATTCTTTTTTATTGCTGAGTAATATTCCATTGTGTGTATATACCACATTTTTTTTTAATCCATTCATCTATTGAAGGGCATCTAGGTTGGTTCCACAGTTTAGCTATTGTGAATTGTGCTGCTATAAACAATGATGTGGCTATGTCCCTGTAGTAGGCTGTTTTTAAGTCCTTTGGGTGTAAACTGAAGAGAGGGATAGTTGGGTCAAATGGTGGTTCCATTCCCAATTTTCCAAGAAATCTCCATACTGTTTTCCATATTGGCTGCACCAATTTGCAGTCCCATCAGAAGTGTATGAGTGTACCTTTCCCTCCACATTCTCAACAACTCTTATTGTTGTTGTTTGTCTTCATAATAGCTGCCTTTCTGACAGGAGTGAGATGAAATCTTAAGAGTGGTTTTGATTTGCATTTCTCTAGTTGCTAGTGATGATGAACATTTTTTCATGTATTTGTTGATTGACTGTACATAATCTTCTGAGAAGTGTCTCTTCAGGTGCTTGGTCCATTTAAAATTGATTGGGTTATTTGTTTGTTTGTTTTTGGTGTTTAGCTTTTTGGATTCTTTATGAGTTCATTTGTACCCTAGAGATTAGTGTTGCATCTGATGTGTGAGGGGTAAAGATTTGCTCCCAAGATGTAGGCTCTCTATTCACCTCACAGATTGTTTCTTTTGCTTAGAGCTTTTTAGTTTGAGTCCATCCCATTTATTGATTCTTGATTTTAATTCTTGCACCACCGGAGTCTTATTAAGGAAGTTGGGGCCTAATCCCCCATGATGGAGATCAGGGCCTACATTTTTGTCTATGAGATACAGGGTCTCTGGTTTTATTCCTAAGTCCTTGATCCACTTTGAGTTGAGTTTTGTGCATAGTGAGAGAGAGAGATTTACTTTCATTTTGTTGTATATGTACTTTTAGTTTTCCCACACCATTTGTTGAAGAGACTTTCTTTTCTCCAATGCATGTTCTTGGCACCTTTGTTTAATATAAGATAATTGTAGTTTTGTGGGTTAGTCTCTGTAGTGTCCTCTATTCTGTACCATTGGTTTACCAGTCTGTTTTGGTGCCAGTACCATGCAGTTTTTGTTACTGTTGCTCTGGAGTATAGTTTAAGGTCTGGTATAGTGATGCCACCTGCTTCAGAATCTTCCTACTAAGGATTGCTCTGGCTATTCTGGGTCTCTTATTTTTCCAGATGAATTTCACGATTGCTTTTTTTATTTCTATGAGGAATGTCATTGGAATTTTGATCAGAATTGGATTAAATCTGTATAGTGCTTTTGGAAGTTTGGTCATTTTGATAATATTAATTCTACCTATCCAAGAGCAAGATAGATCTTTCCATCTTCTAAGGTCTTCTTTGATTTCTTTCTTTAGGGTTCTGTATTTTCATTATTAGATCTTTCAACTCTTGCATTAAGCTGATTCCCAGGTTTTTGTTTTTTTTTTTTCTTTAAGGTACTGCAAATGGGGTAGTTTTCCTTTCTGAGGATTTGTCACTGATATACAGAAATGCCTTTGATTTATGGATATTGATTTTATATCCTGCTACTTTGCTGAATTCATTCACTAGTTCTAGAAGTTTTCTGGTGGAACTTTTTAGGGTCTTCCAGGTATAGAATCATATCATCAGCAAGTAGTGCCAATTTGAGTTCTTCTTTTCCTATGTGTATTCCTTTAATTTCTTTCGTCTAATTGCTGTGGCCAGTGTTTCAAGAACTATGTTAAATAGAAGTGGTGAAAGAGGGCATCCCTGTCTTGTTCCAGTTTTTATAGGGAATGCCTTTAATTTTTCTCCATTTAGAATGATGTTGACCTGGGGCTTAGCATAGATAGCCTTTATGATGTTGAGATATGTTCCTGTTATCCCTTGTTTTTCTAGTGTTTTGAACATAAAGCGGTGCTATATTTTGTCAAATGGTTGTTCTGCATCTATTGAGATGATCATATGATTTTTATCTTTAAGTATATAGATGTGATGAATTACATTTATTGATTTCTGTAAATCTCTAATGAACCTAGATGCAAAAATTCTCAATAAAATTCTGGCAAATCACATACAAAAACATCAAAAAGCTTGTGCACCATGATCAAGTGGGATTCATCCCAGGGACGCAAGGTTGGTTCAACATACGGAAATCAATAAATGCACTGTTTTTTTCATTCTCTTCAAATAGGTAACTTAATATTGAACTTCATATCATAGCCAAATATGGATATGTTCTGTTTTAAAAAAACAGGCATTACTTAAAAAGTATGGATGCTAGAGAAGGATTCAGAAGAAGGGATGACATCTAGGTTGGGTTTTGTAATATATAAAAATTCAAGGTGCTCTTCCATCAAAACCTTTGGTATGAGTCAACAGTCAACATTTAGTTTTTACATTTGCATCTCTATGTGACATATACATGCTCCCTTTTGATAATAATTCAGTTATGTTAGTTTGTGGCAAGGAAGTGACCCCTTGAAATGAGGAGACAGCTTTTATGATCTTAGATTTATCCTATATGACTATAGCTTTGTAATGACAGTACTTCTTTTTTTTTTTTTCTCCTCTCATAACTTGAAAGTGTCACTTCTATTAAATCTTCTTTTCTAACATGTTTTATTTTTTTGGTTATATTCTTTCAATGACTGGTCATTGCCCTTGTTTCTACTTTGATAATCTGTTTGTATCTTATACTTCATATCAAAATGATGTTAATGTTTGGCTCCCCTTGTAAATTTTTATAGTCACAGGCTCAAAACTATTTTTATTGTCCATTTGAGTCCTGTTTAATAGCATTAGAAATATCTTAGTCTATCCAGGCTACAAAATACCTTAGACTGGTTCATTTATAAGCAAAAAATTTATTGCTCACAAAGGGCTAACAGATTTGATGTCTAATGAGGGCCTCTTCTTCATGGATGTGCCTCCTATATGTCCTAACATGGTGGAAGGGGTAAACAAGTTCCCTTGGTATTCTTTTATAGGAGCACTAATTTTGTTCATGAGAGTGGAGACTTCATGATTTAATCACCTCCAAAAGTCTCACTTCTTTATTCTACCACATTGTGAATATTGTTTTATTATATAAATTTTGAAGCTGTCAAATATTCAAACTGCAGCAGGCAATATCTTACTAGTCTTTATGTGTACAAGCACCTTACATAGAATCAATAAATAATTGTTGGAAATAATGAACTAAGCAGTGACAACAGAATTGAGAAAGGAATAAAGTAGATAATTAACAAAAGCTCTATGAATGGATTTAATTTCCGTCTTTTTCTGTTTAGATCTATGGCCCTTTTTCTTTTGTCATTTTAATAAATCTTAGTAACATTTGAGTTAATTACTCTTTAATATCCTAGGAATCTATACTTATATGCAGTGTTTCTCTACTAGTCAGAATGACAGCTGCTGTGTAGTAATCACTGTGACTATTTGGTGATTTGTCAGGTTATTGTGAGTTTTATGAGCAGAGGTCTGATCCTTAGTTGCTGAGGAAAAAATTTTGAAAATTCACTAGTAGGTAACCATTTGTTAAATTATTTAAAATTAGTTTATAATTTTGAATACCTACTACATACCAGTTGAGTATAGAGTATTTGGGAAATACAGTGAGAGGCCTTGTTTGCTCAAAGCTTTTGTTCTGGAGAAGAAAAAGACAATATACAAAAATATAAATGGAAAGATAAATTAGATAGTTTGATATTATTTACAGTGAGGAAAATTAAATGACATAATTGACAGAGGTAGGCAACTGTTTTGATTCTTAAGTGAAAACATCCTGAGAAAATTATATTTAAATTGAAAGCCAAGTAAAAACTAAGCCTTGTGAATGGTCTGGCTGTATAGTACTCCAAGCAGATGAACAGGTTGGAAAGACTCCAGGGCAGGAATTAATGTGTATTTAAAAAATATTTTTACAAAAAACTCTTTTAACAGGGAGGAAGGGGAGTGGAGGAAGTATGGGTGGAAAAGATTTTGGAATGAGATGGACATAATTATCCTAGGTACAGTATGACTGCACATGGTGCGATGCTACACTATGTACAATCAGAAAAATAAAAAGTTCTGCTGCAGTTGTGTACAATGAGTCAAAATGCATTCTGCTGTCATATATACCTAATTAAAATAAGGATTAAAAAAATTATTTAAGATATTGTCTTAGTTATTTTATGTAGTCTACATGTATTTTTTATACAATGACAAACACAGCAATTATGTATGCTATATTATTAATATTATAACAATTATAACTTTAAATATAGATTTTTAGATTATAAAAGTGAAAATTTATTTCTAAGGCCATTTTCTTTTTCTTCCCCCTCCCTAAGTAGTGTTTTGTTTTGTTTTGTTTTCTCTCTCTTTTTTTGATGTTGGTGGGGATCAAAACACATAATTGCTAGGCAAGTATTCTACCAATGAGCTATATCTACAGCCCCTTCCACAGTATTTTAAATTCGCAGGGGATCATTTTAGGCTTCATTACTGATTTGTTTTTATTTAAGGATAACTTGTGTATTATTCTAGTTGAATCTTGACCAGTATATAAAATTGTTTTTTTTTTTTTTTTTGTGAATATGCAGTGGATTTTCTTATGAGAATTAAAGATGCAAGTAAAATTAAAACCCTCCAAAGTTTATCACATATGCCATTTTATACATATATTGTTACTTTACATGACTTTTATTTATTTATTTTGTTGGCTATACTTTGTGTGCTACCATTGAGCTACATTCCCAGCTCTTTACATAACTTTTTTTTTTAAATGTTAGTAATGATTGCAAATATTTTTCCATGTCAGCAAATACAGGTTTGTATCACCTTTATGTGCACTATAATATTTGCTTATGTGAATGAAACATACTTTATTTAAATCATATGTCTTTTCATAATTTTTCACTATGTTTTGAAGTACATTGCCTTAGAAATCTTGTTTGATAAGCAACCCGGAAGGGAAGTTGCTTATCAGGAAGGTTTTACTAATTAATATTCTCAATGACTGTGTCTGTCTGCCTATTTCCCATTTATTTGAATATAAGTGAGACTGAATAATTGTCTTTGTGTTACTTGACATTTTTATTTCATTTGAAATTTGCCTATTCAGGTCTTTTCATTTTTGTGTGTGTCATGTATGTGACACAAAAACTTTTAAAAATTTAAAAGTTCTTTATATATATGGATAATAAGCCTTTGACACTTGTTGGAAATAATGTTAATTCAAGTTGTTTAAAATGTGTGCTTTTTTCTACTTGAGAGTTTCAATATTTTGATGTTTATATTGTCAAAATTTGCATTTTATCAATTTGCCATGTTTTCATTCAATCTTGTGATTTTCATAAAATAAGATCTTTACTACTTTTTAATTGATCTAGGAGATCAGAAACCTTGCCAGCACACCTGTTGCTTCTAGGCACACACCGCCTATGGAATTTGGAAGAAGCTCTTAACAACTGTTCTAGGGATAAACTGTGATTATAATAATTGTAGTGATAGTACAGATGTCCTTTTCTATATTTCTGGGACTTCAGAAAATTAAAGTTATCTTTTATGTGCTTTTTTGCCAGCAGAAATAGATTTAGTAGCCAGAGTCTCTGCTTCAGTTGTATCTTCCCAGTCTCACATGTGGATATTTGATTGACAAACTTAAATCATATCCAGAACTCTAGATATAGTAGAGTCTGGAGATTTTTGTTGTTTAATTTTTAGGTTCTTAACTTTTGGAGGAAGGAAAATGAAATAGATATTAAATATCAAATTTCCAATTTTATCACAGTCATGAGGTACGATGAATGATTGTATGGATAGGAAATTAGGAAAACTCTCTGAGCATTTTTTTTTATTCTTAGATTAATATGGAGAATTTATTTTTTGCCCCTCTTTTTCAGCACTTGCTGGAGGTAAATTCTTTGAAGCATCTAACAAGATTGACCCTACAGGATCGCATAACTAAGTCTCTTCTTCATTTGCACAAGAAGAAAAAGCCTCCCAGCATCAGTGCCCAGTTTCAGGTTATTTCCAATTTTACTTATCTCTATAGTACTACAGACAAATTGTGGGTTGGAAGGGTATTTCATTTTAGATAATTCTGTCTGTAGTCAAACTTTTCTGTATCCTGTGAAGGGATCACTTGCTTTCTTTTTTAAATAGAAAAAGAGAATAATACCAAGGAGCCAAATAACTTACTGTGTGCTAGTAAGCTTAAATAAAAAGCAATGGTTATAATGAAACAGCTGCAAGAATTTTTTAAAAAGATCCTTTATTTGTAATCATATGCATTAGTGTCATTTAGTTGTGAAGCAACTAAAGTGTTACTTGAGCAGGCCTTGGTGCTGTCTACAAACTGTAGAGTCTAGTTCTTTGTAGATTTAGAAAAACAAAGATAAATGGGTTATAGCATCCCCACCCCACCCCCCCAAAAAAATAGTCAAGTGGTAAACACTGCTGTGAGATGGTATCAGAATTTATTAATGTATAACATAAATAGGAGCATAATCAGACTTGGTACAATTGTTTGGTCATTAGCACTCTTCCCCCTGATTAGCACATCAACATGAGAAGCCAAATTTTGATCTAAAGGCAATTTTGGTAAGGGAACATTAATACCATGATTGTACAGTATAAAATCATTGTACTGCTAAGTATCCTTGGATATAAATATCATTCTTTTTTTTTTTTTTTTTGGTTAAATGAATGACCACAGTTGTTGTTTTTAACTTTATTTTTTTCATTTATTTACTTTTTTTTTTATGTGATGTTGAGGATTGAACCCAATGCCTCATACATGCTAAGCAAGTGCTCTACCACTGAACCACAACCCCAGCCTTATAAATATCATTCTTACACCAAAGAGCAACTATGAAAAAATTATACTCATAATCCTATCTTGTCCTTCACTCCCTCTTTCAGAAATTTCAGATATTCTCAACTTATATTCATTTATATTTAATTTTTGCAGAAGGATCATCTTTAATACTTCTAATACATTGTCAAATTATAATAAAAGTAGTTAATTTTTGATTATTTGGAAAATATAAATTAGTAAAACCAAATGAAAATCCTCTACTATCAAGAGTACTTTATTTTTCAGGATGTTTACTAAATATTTACACATATTCTTTTATCTGATTTACACATATGCATTATCCCACCAATGTGTGAGTTAAATACTATTGTTCTTATCATATAGGTGAGGAAACTAAGTAAAAGGTTAGGAAATGTCACATGGTATAGATGGATGGTATACCAACATTTACGTGAATGTTTATTTTCCTCAAAATGAAATCTTAGAACTCATGAAGGCTTAACTGATACAGGAATTGCTCTTCTGCTATAAAAACCAGAATACTGGAAAAGAAATATGAATCAAATGTTTTCAGATATTCGGTAATAAGCATTGCAGGATTGAGTCTTTCAAAAAGGAAAAGAAGTGAAGAAAGCCTCAGATAAATGTCTAAAGGCAGTTTGCTAAAACTCAGAGAAAACCAAAGCAGATAAATGTTTAGTAATCTTGCTAACAGAGGTAGATGCAGCTGGAATTTGTGAGGCAGTATAGTGGAAAGAGGAAGCTTTATGGAAGAAAGCTATACATCTGCTAAGGGGTCTCCTTGAATCTATGTCTGATTGCTGATCTATGCATGTGTAGGTTAAAACTTGCTGAGACTGAGGAAAGAATCACCAGAATCCTGTAAACGTAGTATTTATAAAAAACTAGAGGAATAGTTATATTCCCATCAACCTGAGTAGAATGACCTGTTGGTAATGGTTCAGAAGACCACAGTTTAGTAATAGGACTGAAATAGTCTCAGTGTAAAGATTGCCTACCTTCACAAAGCTTAAAAGCAAGTCTTTTTTTTTTTTTAACCCCACCTTTGTGGTACTAGGGATTGAACCCAGAGCCTTGCATATGGTAGGCAAGTGCTTTACTACTGAGTTTCATGTACCCCCGCCCCTTTTTAAATTTTGTTTTGATGCAGAGTCTCCCTGAGTCATCCAGGTTGACATCAAACTTGAAATCCTCCTGCCTCAGTTTCCAGAATAGCTAGGAATACAGGCATGCACCATCATTCTTCGCTAAAAACAAATTTTGGAAGAATCAAACTAAATAACTTAGTGGCATGCCAGGAATAATATCTGTCATTTAAAGAAGTACAACAGATTCAACAATGTAAAACACAAGTGTAGGAGCCAATGAGAAATTGCTAGGCATGCAGAGTCAAGAAAATAGTAATCCTTAACAAGGGGCAGGTGAGGGGGATTACAGAAGTGACCCAAAAATAATAGGCATGGTGTGAATAGTAGATAAGAATTTCAAAATAGTATTATAGATCTTTTAAATATGCTCATAGATGTAATGAGAAAAATGAATTTGATGAGAAAAATGGAAGATACCTCTTTTGGAGTGTATGACAGTCTCTGCTCATTCTGCACACTGCTTTAGGAGAGGAAGCCGCCATTATCTTTTCTTCTTTCCCACTTCCCTGTTGCAATCAATAAAGACCATTCATATGTTAAAGAAGAGAAGTAAAAAGACTCCAAATGAAACTTTTTTTTTTGAGAAGGATCTTGCTAAGTTGCTGGAGCTGGCTTTGAACTTGCAATCCTCCTGCCTCAGCCTCTCAAGCTGCTAGGATTACAGGCATATACCACCACACCCAGCCTAAATGGAACTTTTAAAGAATAAAAATGTAATGTCAGTCAATAAAAAATAAACTAGATTGGATTATCATTTTATTAAATAGTTCAGAAGTAGTAAATTTAAGTCATTTAATTTTTAAGATAAAGTTAAAAAAAAAAGATGGGTGGGTAAAGAAAATAGCATCAATCACTTGTGGGATCGTAATTCTTACCTATATTCTGATCACTTCAGAGAATCACAGTAAGTAAACAATTAAGGAGTATTTCAGGGCTGGGGATGTGGCTCAAGCGGTAGCGCGCTTGCCTGGCATGCGTGCGGCCCGGGTTCGATCCTCAGCATCACATACAAACAAAGATGTGTCCGCCGAAAACTGAAAAATAAATATTAAAAAAAAAAAAAGTATTTCAAAGACTTGAGCAGCACTCTTCACCTTCTTGATTTCAGCTAACTACAGAGTATTCATTCATGTAAGTGCCCATGGAACACTTGTCAGTATAGGTCATGAATTAAGATAGGAAAAAAACCTTAACAAATTTAAGTAGTTAAAATCATAGAAAATGTTTTATTTGACTGTGATGGAATTTAACTAAAAATCAAAGAAAGATAGCAATCACCAAATAGTTGGGAAACAAAGGCCAGACTTCTAAATAATACATGAAACAGAGAGGGAAGAAAAATGAAAAATATTTTAAATGGAATAAAATATCAAAATTTTTGCACTGCAGCTAAGGCAGTACTCCAAGGTTAATTTATAGTGTTGAATGCTTGTATTAGAAAAGGAAATAGGTTTTTTTTTTTAATAAATCCAGTGTTTGGTTTTTTTTTTTTTTTTTTTTTTTTTTTGTAGTTCTATATGGACAGCGTGCTTTTATTTTATTTGTTTATTTTTATGTGGTGCTGAGGATCAAACCCTCAGCACCGTGCAAGGCAAGCACTCTGTCACTGAGCTACAGCCCCAGCCCAGGAGATAGGTCTTAATTCAATAATCGAAATTTACCATAGAAACATAAGAATAGGTCAAATCCAAAGCACACATAAAGAAGGAAATAATAAAGATAACAGTAGCCTTCACTGAAATTGAACATAGAAAAGAAAAATAATAGAGAAAAATCAGTGAAATTTAAAAATAAAACAAACCCTGTGTCTCTGGTCAGAAAATTGGTAAACCTCTGATCATACTAATTGGAAAAAAAAAAAGAGAAGTTAAAAATTACTATTATCAGGAATGAAATAGAGGACATTACTGCATACTCTGTAGGTATTAAATAAAATTAAAGCAAGGGATTACTACCTTACTTCACAGTCTCCTTAGTGATTTTATAATTCTTTAAGAATGCATGAGTTTTGGGGGGAAAAAAAGAGGGAGGCATGAGTTTGAATAAGATTTTTTAATGAAATGTGAATAGTGAAAAAAGTATTCTATATTTAGATTATTCTTAAAATGCATCCATATCCTTTTTGTCTTTCATTTAACCAGAATGGGAATATACACAATTTGTTTTTCAGAAACAAACCTCTTTCTATGGATGCATAGAAAATTTTTCATATTTTGTCAATATTATTTATATTTATAATTATTTGTTGCCAGTTTTTAGTGGGAGAGTATTAATTATATTGTTTTTATTGCAGGCATCCTTAAGCAAGCTAATGGAGACACTTGATCAAGCAGAACCATATTTTGTAAAATGCATTCGCTCTAATGCTGAAAAGGTAAAAATGTTCTATAAATGATTACATAAGCCCAGATTACTTCAAGATTTTAATTCTTTTAAAGAGAATAAATAGGAGGGGCTGTATATAATATTTATGAGGTAATAGTGTTTCATAAATATTTTCTGTGGCTCATCTTCCAGTTTCTACCCTTACTGTATACAAGTTGTTTTCATGGGTTTGATTTACCATCTCCTAGAATTTTAAAAGCAAATACCTCTTGAAATTCCATTAGAAAAAAAGATTTTTCTTTGAAACTTTTGTTACTATAAAGTTTGAGTGTATATTATATCTCTTTAAAAAATTGTTCAGCAGTTTTCTTGTTTGGAGATTTTTGTCTCTGTAATCTAGGAAAGATACTATAGACATTCTTCATTCCTTTTTGTTTTCTATGTTAGTTTCCTTAGGATTTTTTAAAAAAATTAGATTCTTGTCCCTATAGAGAAGATATCAAGACATTCTTGATTGTTTTCTTCCCCCCCCTTTGACAGTTCCCTTAACTAGAGCTATTCAAAATGTAGTAAGTGTAAATATAAAATATTTGTCATCTTTATTTATGTTCATCATAGGAAAAAATTAGTTCTTAGCCTAAAGAGCAAAAATACAGTAGGAATTGTGTTCAGCTTTCTTAAGTCAGTTTGCTTGCTTATTTATTTGGTACTAGATATTGAACCCAGTGGTGCTTAACCACTAAGATACAACCCCAGCCCTTTTTATTTCTTATTTTGAGACAGGGCCTCACTGAGTTGCTGGGGATGGCCTTGAATTTATGATCCTCCTGCCTCAGCCTCCCAAGTTTCTGGGATTGTAGGGTGTACACCTGCATGCCTGGCAGCTTTCCTAAATTTTAAGAAGCAATCTGCAACTCTGAATTTTAAAAGCTTTGTGACCTTAGACAAGTGATTTCATTATTCTGTGGCTTAAATGTTTTCATTGGTAGTATATTTATAGGACTAACCTCACAGTGCTCTCTGAGTATATATAATTCCTATCTGTGAAGTGCTTAATTCCTGCCTGTACTAAGTGGTTAATAAATGTTGGCTATTCTTTTATAGCGACCAAATTGGAAACTTTATTTAGGATTAAATATAAGTTTGAGTTCCAATTATTAATAGACCCTGGTATACATAGTTCAATTAATGAAGTATTTCAGGGCACAGAATAAGTACTAAATAAATGTTAACTGCTATTATTATTTGACATAAATTGCTCATTTGTTTTCAGGTGTTTTGTTTCCTTGATAGCTTGTATGCCTCACCTAGTTGCAAGGGAAAATATTTGGGATTGCCTTAGAGGATCACTAAACACAACATTTAGAGAACAGAGAATATATCAGAAGCTCCAAAGAAAGCTTCTTATAAATGTCTAAAAACTTGCCTAGTGAGATATCTAGTAATGATAAGATGTTGAATAGTATCTCCCATTAGTCTCTTACCTATTATTGCTCATACAATTAAGAAATTTATTGTGAGGGGCTTTTAATAATTTTTTTTATTTTCAGTGTTTTATACCAGTATCATCAGCAAGAAGTATTAGGAAATAAATTAGTCTTCACCTTATATTAGAAGAAGAAATCTGTCACCACTCAGTTAACAGGCAACTGAATGGGGTTGGGTCAGTTGGTTTCCTAGTGATATTATAGATAAAATCATAATGAAATACAAAAACATAAGTAACTCTTCAATATGTACATATAGATTTTTCTTTTTTATTATATTTTTTAGTTGTAGATGGACATGATACCTTTATTTTGTTTATTTAGTTTTTTAAAAAAATTTATTGTAACAACAGAATGCATTACAATTCATATTACACACATAGAGCACAATTTTTCATATCTCTGGTTGTATACAAAATAGAGTCACATCCCTTGTGTTCTTCATACATGTTCTTAGGGTAATGATGACCATTGCATTCCACCGTCTTTCTTACCCTTATGCCCCCTCCCTTCCCCTCCCTCCCCTTTTTCCATTTGCTCTATCTAGAATTCATTTAATCCACCCCACCAGCCACAGCATATTGTGAATCAGCATCCTTAAATCATAGAAATCATGGAGCATTTGTTTTTTGGGGGGATTGGCTAATTTCACTTGGCATTATGTTCTCAAGTTCCATTCATTTACTTGCAAATTCCATGATTTTATTCTCTTTTAATGTTGAATAATATTCTGTTGTATATATATCCACATTTTCTTTATCTATTCATGTACTGAATGGAATCGAGGTTGATTCCACAGTTTAGCTATTGTGAATTGTGCTCCTATAAACATTGATATGGCTGTGTCCCTGTAGTATGCTATTTTTAAGACCTTTGAGTATAGACCTAGGAGTGGGATAGCTGGGTCAAATGGTGGTTCCATTTCCAGTTTTCCAAGAATTCTTCATATTGCTTTCCATAGTTTTTTAATGTGGTGCTGGGGATTGAACCAGTACCTCATGCATTCTAGGCAAGTGCTCTACTACTGAGCCACATTCCCAGCCCCTATAGATTAATCTTGTTACAGATTTTTGTATTAGCTAGACTGAGTCCTGTCTGGGTGATTGCATTCCTATTGAACTTTTAAGGTCTTCTGCTTTCATAACCAGAGATGCTTAGATCTTGGATTCTCTCTTTTCTCTAGGGTTGGACAGTCAGAACATTTCTGAAGCTACTAGCTGGGTGGTGAACTTATCCTGTCACCTTAGCTATATCTTAACCAGACAGTCTCCATTCAATTCCTAGATTTAAAAAAGTTAGATATTTCTGTAAAATGGATAGTAATTTGGAGATATGCTGTTCTGGGTTAACATTGTTTTCTGTTTGTTCTGTTTTAGCTGCCTTTAAGATTCAATGATGCCTTGGTACTTAGACAGCTTCGATATACTGGGATGCTGGAAACAGTTCGAATTCGCCAATCAGGATACAGCTCCAAATATTCTTTCCAGGTTTATGCTACTATAATAATATTTAAATATATATTCACATCAAGTAAATTATTCCCACATATCTTACGTGTTATTTCTTTGGAAGTCACATGTTATTTTCCTCAATTCTCCCTTTCCAGTCTACTTTTAGTATTCAGAATTCAAAAGAGTTAGAGTTATTGCTCTGTTGAATGCTGGCAATCACTTTAAGTTTGTGTTGTAATAGAATCTAGTATTTGCTACTCTCATTTGAACAGAATGTTTGCTGATAATAAATTTACTCTTAACATCTTCTTACTGATATCTTCATACTGTTATCTCTAGTAATTGAAATGGTTCTTCTCTAGTTCAAAGAAAGTTAACTTTTGGTTTCTCTAAAGTTAACTCAGCAGGATTTTCTTCAGTTAGGAAACTATCAATCAACAAAGGTACATATCTATTTCTTTTGTCTTTAATACAACTTTTTTCCAAACAAGATAATTAGCTTCTTCCCTTCTTCTTCCATTTTTGTTTTGATTATGTAGAACTCAATGTTTTACCCCTTTATAATACTTTGAATTAACAAGTGCTTTGGTTTGACCCTGTTTAAAAGAAAAAGAATAATAAAGGAATAATGGGCTAGTTTAGCATCTTTTTTACATATAATTCTCTTGAAATTTTACAACATTTTCTTTCTGCTTTTCAGGACTTTGTGAGCCATTTCCATGTACTTCTTCCCCGAAATACTATTCCATCCAAATTGAACATTCAGGATTTCTTTAGGAAAATAAATCTTAATCCAGATAATTATCAAGTTGGAAAAACCATGGTAAATATAACATGTACAGTGTTTGTCAAAACTGCATTTTTTGTTTTTTAATATCGTTCTTTATTACATTTTTAATATAATTTATATATAAATTTTTATAAAATAGCATATCAGATATTATAGTCTATAGTTTTTAGATAATGAAGTTGGTATTAATGATACAACTTCAAGGCCAATACTATGGTTCTGACTAATTTTAAATGTAAGTTGAACCATCTCTGACTAGACATTCTTCTGTAATCACCAACTTAACTTCCCCAAAGTAACTTTACTATCTTTAATTTATCAACTATTTTCTTTCTTTTTCATCTGTTTTCCAGTTTCTCAGACTAGAAAACATGATACAGTGATCATCTTCGGTTTACCCTTTAATTTAATCCTTTTACAAAGTTCTGGGTTTTTTTTCTTATTTCTTTTTTCCTTACAAATGATTTTCACATCTTTGCCTGTTTCTCCATTCCTACTCTTTCCATCTTTTTGTTCCTTAGTTCTTTTCATCTTCATTGCTTTTACAATAAACAGCTGCTCATCTGCTTCTAGTGTATTCTAGTCATTCCATTTAATTTCTTCTGCCCATAATATAAAAATCACCTTAATATACTTCTTTATGTTGGCGTCTCCTGTTCAGTAATAATCTCCTGATAACCTCCTAATTAAATTTAGACATATTCCTCTCATTTAAGGACCTCTATATTTCAGCTTCATAAAATTTATTATCTTCTTGGATAATACATTGTCTCCTGTGCATGCCTTTATTTCCAACTGCTTGTGTTGTTGAGGTGAGGTTTTTCTCTCAATAGCCCTTATTAGTTTACTGTTTCTTCTTTGGGCATATGATATATACCTGCTCTTAAAGGGGGAAATGCAAATCTTATTTCCAAATGAATATGTCTAATTTATCTTTGTATACCTCTGAATCCCTAAAAATTTATTAGTGGAATAAAAGTAAATAGACAGATTAGTAATTTTGAGCAAGAAGACTTTTTTAATGAATGTTGGATTTCAAAGACTAATCATTGGTTTAGTCATGTTATGATCAAGCTTCATGATTTCATAATCTGTTGTTCTTACCTCCCCAACACCCTTGAAAAATATGACAAATTAACAGTACTTTGATTCATTATGACAATAATTTTTTTCAAGCAAAATAGTCTGTCAGTCTTTGGCACTGGAATTTTTGCACACTTGTTCACCTTCCTATTTACTTCCCATATTCTTGTTTTCAATTTTTGAGAATGACTACTCGATCAATTGATAGAAATATTTATTGGTACTTCATTTACATGTCTGCCATTATATTTCTTCTTTTCTGAAAACCTACCACAGAAAGATAATTCATGAAATATTTTTTTCATTTCTTCTTAAGTTGTGTTCCCTATTTTCTTATTCTGATAGGTCTTCCTAAAGGAGCAGGGACGACAGAACTTACAAGATCTGCTTCACCAAGAGGTACTCCGCAGAATCATATTGTTGCAGCGATGGTTCAGGGCCTTGCTGTGTAGGCAGCATTTCCTCCATCTGAAACAGGCATCCATTATTATCCAGGTGGGAAGCAAAGGATTTTCTGCATGAGATTGACAGGTTTATTTTGCTATTTTACTATGAAACATTTAAATAATAATATAAACCTCAGAGATGAGACTATATCCGCCTCATTTTTGAAATATCTATAGCACCCAACAGATTAACTTGTAGTGTAAATTAGTAGACTATTAATTTATTGTGTTGAATTTAAATTAATTTGAATAAATTGTTTTATATTGTCTTTTGAAGTATGAGCAAGGGCAAAGGAGTTATGCACCTTAATTTTGTTGGCATAGTTATTGTTATTTAAAAGTTTTCTGAGTGATATTTATGAGTTTTGCGCATATTGTTGCTAGGTACTCATTTTGAATGATAACACCTTATTTCACATTTATCTGTTTTTTTATCCTTCTTATTGTTTTAAAACATTGGGTCTTCATAAGATCTTTTCTTTTGTTCATGAAAATCTTTAATACCTCCATCTTTATTTGTTCAAGAAAATCTTTAATAGCTTCATCTTTAATTGCTTTAAACCTATTAATGTTATTTGGGAAAACTGTATCAAGAAAATATGATATAATTTATTAAAAATAACATAAGAACCTGAAAGCATCCAGAAACTTAAATTCTATAATTAACTTTGTGAAAGTTATGTTATTTAACATAGATGTTTTAGTCAAGCATATGTGGAAAAGAAAACTTATTTTTAATCATCAAACTTATTTTTAGCCACGTAACACTTAATTGACTTAAGAAATCTATCCTTTTTCCCTTTCTTATAAAAATGTGTAGTAACATGACAACCAGTTTTTATTGTTTATTCCCCAGCAATTCTGGAGAAATTACCTGAATAAGAAGCAAGTCAGAGTTGTAGCTGTGCAGAAGGATGCTTTTGTTATGGCTAGTGCAGCTACTCTTCTCCAAGCTTCCTGGCGTGCTCACTTAGAGAGGCAACGGTATTTGGAGCTTCGGGCTGCTGTCATAATTATCCAACAGAAATGGAGGGAGATTTATAGGCGCAGGCATATGGCTGCTACCTGCATACAGGCAAGATGGAAAGGCTACAGAGAAAATAAAAGGTATCAAGAACAGAAGAAAAAAATTATCCTTTTGCAGTCAACATGTAGAGGATTCAGAGCAAGACAGAGGTAATCTCTGTTACCATAATAATTGCTCCCTCTCTTCCTAAGTACTTTGTTTATACCTCTGCTTTACACTAGTATTACTATTGGTTATCCTCTTGGTGAAAATTGATTTTATATTGTCTCCTGTGCATGCCTTTATTTCCAATTGCTTGTGTTGCTGAGGTGAAGTTTTTCTCTCAGTAGCCCTCATTAGTTTACTGTTTTCTTCTTTGGGAATATGATATGTACCTGCTCTTAAAGAGGAAATGCAAATCTTATTTCCAAACAGATATGTCTAATTTATCTTTGTATATCCTCTGAATCCCTAAAAATTTATTAATAGAATAAAAGTAAATAAATAAACTGATTAGTAATTTTGAGCAAGAAGACTTTTTAATGCATGTTGGATACATATTCTTCTCGAGGATGTGATACCCATACTAGTTTGAACCTACAGTGTCTGGTCTATGATGGAAATTAAATAAGTCTTTATTGAATTAAATTGGATTGAAAACTTACATGGTTAAAACTGCTAAGAATTAACTTATATATTAGGTTAATCTTATAAAATTGGCAATATTCATTAATTTTATATTTGTCTACTTTAAAGTAAGGATATTGTTGAAATGAGACTCTACTTTTTCTTTGTGTGTGTGTATGTGTGTTGTTTTTTGTTTTTGTAGTGCTGGGTATCTAACTCAGGGTGTTACGCATGCTACACAAATACTCTACTGCTGAGCCACATCCCCAACAACCCTTCTGATAGCTTTACTTTTGAGTTAGTTTACATTTGGTTAGAATGGCTAGAATGCCCAGTTAGGAATAATACATATATTGAAAGTATCATCGGACTCATGGAAATAGGAAAATATGAGATGGTATGGATCTGGTTAGTTTAAGAAATACTTGCGTATTATAGAAAGGAAATTTTAAAACTGGGTGGAAATGGCACATTCCAGGTTTCCACCTACTTGGGTGGCTAAGAAAGTAGGATCACTTGAGCTTGGAGTTTGAGGCCAACCTCAAACATAGCATAGAATCTCAAAAAGAAAAGAAAGAAATAAAAACAAAGAAAATTTTGTGATTTTCCATTTTTTAAAAAATTATCTTAGTGGTAATCAAGAGAGATCTGTAATCCATTTTATCTGTTTTTACATAGATTTAAAGCTTTAAAAGAACAGAGGATAAAGGAAACACAGCTAAAACTTGGATTGGTGAATATCAAGGCATATGAATCTCTGGAAATAGAGGGTTCAGACCCTTCAGAATGGGAGGATTGTTCCTTTGACAACAGAGAGAAAGCCATAGAGGAAGGTAAATCTGGGATAGAGAGTAATCGAATTAGCCATGAAAGTTCAGTGGACTGCTCAAAAGAGACTCCAGAGAAGCTGCAGGAGAAAGCCAGAAGCCAAAGTGGTGTGGACTTGAAGGAAGATGTGATTGTAAAAGAAAGGCCCAAGTCCTTGGAGGATCTGCATCAGAAGAAAGTAGTCCGGGCCAAAAGAGAAAGCCGGAGAATGAGAGAACTAGAGCAAGCTATATTTAGCTTAGAATTGCTTAAAGTTCGTTCTCTTGGTGGTATGTCACCTTCAGAAGAACGCAGATGGTCTACAGAACTTATGCCTGAAGGCCTTCAATCTCCACAGGGTACACCTGATAGTGAAAGCTCTCAAGGAAGCTTGGAACTTCTGAGTTGTGAGGAAAGCCAAAAGAGCAAACCAGAGTCCATAACTTTAGAAGATTTGAAGATTCCATCACCTAAAATATCTAGTAGCCCAAAATTTGATTCACAGGACAATACCTTCAGTGCCTCAAGAGAGACTAACCATGCATTGATTCAAAAGGGAGCATCCTCTGACTCAGAGTGTTTGAAGAATGGAACTATGAAGGAAAAGGCTGTGTGCATTTCTGAACCTATTACCTGTAAACCACAGCTGAGAGACTCTTTTATATCAAATAGTCTGCCCACATTTTTTTATATTCCTCATCAAGACCCCCTGAAAGCAGGTTCCCAAGTAGACACAAATATCCAAAGAAACAAACTATTAGAAAGTGAAGACACACTGGGGACAGCTCTTTCTTTGGATATCAACAGGGAAGCCAGAAAGTATCATTTCTCAGAAGATCAAATGGTTCCTTCTTTTAAAACAGATTCTTCTAATACTGTGCTTAAGAAATTAGAAAAGCTAAACACACAGAAGGAAGAAAGGCAAAAGCAGTTGCAGCAGAAGAATGAAGAAAAGATGATGGAACAGATTCGTCAGCAAACAGACATTTTAGAGAAGGAACGTAAAACTTTCAAGAAAATTGAAAAGCCAAAAACTGAGGAGTCTTTCCTGGTACCATCTTTCTGTCCACCAAAGCAAAGAGTAGAGAGGCCATCCTCTGTCTTCATCCTAAATACCCCAAATAAGGAAGAACTAGAGTCCCCATCATTAGTGACTATAAAAGATACAAATCTTACCCCAAAAGACAGTCCCTCTGCTCAGTTACCAGTGAGAGACCGACCTATCACCCTATTCTTTGAAAGAAAAGGAAACTCATGCCAATCTAGTACTGTCAGGGAATTATCCAAGACAGAAAGAACAGGCACCCAGCAGAGTATAGCCTGTAAAAACTCTAATAATCGCATTTCAAAAAGAGAACACCTTAGGCCAATTCAGTCTTATGGCCACAAATCTGATGAACCTTCCAGAGAGGGGAGTACAAGGGCCATTTTCTTCACACCAAAGGACAATATGAGTACTCCTCTGTAAGTGAAATATTTATTTTTTTGTATAGGTGGAAAGTTCTTTTATTAAGGTGCCATGTTTGTTTCCATACTGGGGATTAAACCAAGGGCCCTCACATATGCTGCATCCCCAGTCAGAGGTGTGCCACATTGCGTTAACTTTTTTTATGGGTGCTGCTCAAATAAGTCATTTTCTTTTTATAACAATATTCCCTTATTGTTGGTTGTATTAGTCACCTGAAATTGGATGTACTTATACCCTAGGAATCCTTGATAGCAGAGTTTCTTATTCTTCCTTATTAAGTGAAAAAGTATTTGTGAAAGTCAGTACAGTGCTATAAACAGAGTAGGCATTCAACAAATGCTGGTTGCTCTAGAGATATGTAATGTAGCTGTCCAAGCTGTTTTTGTGTTTTAAACATATTGCATAAAATTGCCATCTTTACTATTTTTAAGTATACAGTACAGTGATATTAATTATATGCTCTTGGTTGTGTAATAGAACTCTAGAATATTTTCTTCTTGCAAAACTGAAACTATACCCATTAAATAACCTCTCCCTCTCCTCAGTCCCTGGCAACCACCATTCTTCCAGCTTCTAAGAGTTTACATTAGAAACCTTACATAAATGAAAGTTCCTTCATATATTTTTAAACACTGGTAGTTGTCATGAGAAAAGCTATTTTTCTTCTTTTTTCAGTGCTGGAGATGGAACCCAGAACCTTCTGCATGCTAGGCAAATGCTCAACTTATTGAGCTACATCCCTAGTCCAGAAAAGCATTTTTTAAGGGATACATAAAAGCAATAACATTTAAGATACTTCTATTAAGTCTTTGTATACAATGGCTTCTTTCAGTTTTTGTAGGAGACTATCACTGGTGAAAGGAAGGCTGTCTCTTAGGGCTAAATAAATGAAATTTCATATTATCAGTGAAAATACCTTTTTCTCTCCTGTTGTACTCTGGGTATATAAATCTTTCAGCCTTTAAATTTGTGTAAGATTTTAAAGAAAAAACCCTTATAAATATGGGCAACGACCATTAATATTTTATTTTTCTACTGAGGGTTTCTGCATATTATGAAATGCATTTTAACTTAATGACAACTTGAAGTTAAATTTCTGCCCATGAGCCTAGAGATAGTATAGATGTTCAAAGGCTCTATATAGCACATATGCCAGTAAAACAGTGTTAAAAAGAATTCCTGTCATTCTGATTAATGACATGATATTGTGTTTCTATGTATGTGTGTGTATAGATACTTGAATATAGAGTGAATCTGTTTTGTGAAGACTTGGTTGTAGACTCAAAAAACATTAATCATCCTGGTTAATTATCCCTTTTACATTTTCCCAAGATAATATAGTTTGAAGTAGTTTGTTTTACCATATTAATAATCTACTTATCTTCAATAATTATACATTAAATTGTTTACATAAAAGTAAAAGCATTGGGTCTCATGATTAGGAAATAGTATTAGGTTAGTGTTTTTTTAATACCATAATGGTGATAAGTACATAGTGGTCTTCATCTGTTTAATGAGGGATGACATAAAAGAAATCTTGGGAAAATCTAATGAAAATTCCATGAGTTTAAACATTACTTTGGGTGGTAAAGATACTATTAATTGCTTTCTTTCTCTTTGGAAGCAGACAAGTAAGGTCAGCTGTGGTGATTTTTAATGGTCACAAGAAAATTCTTCAAGAACTAAAGTTAAAATTGTTTGGCTTGATCATACACTGGTCAGAAAGGGAGATAGCTGAGAAACTTAGCTAGTAAAGATTGCCATCTCTATTTGTTTCGGGACTGTTACTTTTAGGATAAAAGACCCTAGATTTCATTTTATAAAAGCTAAATGATAGGAGACTGAGGCAGGAGGATTTTAAGTTTCAGGCCAGCCTCAGCAATTTAGCAAGGCCCCAAGCTACTTATGGAGACCCTGTCTCAAAATAAAAAATAAAAAGGTCTGGGATGTAACTCAGTGGAAAAGCTCCCTGGGTTCAATCTCCAGTACCAAAAATAAATAAATAAAATAAAGTAAAATAAAATAAATAAATACAAGAGCACCCAAAAAGGTAAATAAAAGATTTTGAATGTAAGATCAGTTTACATATCAACTAGTATTATAAATTAATGTCTACTTTCAAACAATTCTATACTAGGAGGTAGGATATGATTCTTAAAAGAATTTATAGTCCTGCTGAGGTGAGTTTAGCAATATGTTGTTGATAAATTTTAAGGCTCATGGGGCTGAATTAATATTGTTGATTGAAGCACTGAAAGTATATGTTCTTTTCAGATACTGACATCCATTTCTGCACAGAATTTAATGATAAAATAATCACATCATATAGTTATTCAAGCATATTAAATTTTCACAAGCCAACACTATAACGTCTGTATGGCTTGGAGCATTCTTCCAAGTGGTAACAATTTCTTATCCTACCAGTGTTGTTATTCTGTATAACCTCAAGTTTTAAAACTGAGATAGTAGATTAAAAGGCTACAGAGAAAGATTTCAGAAAGAGAATTATCTAGCCAATAAGAACCATCTTCGGTATTTTTAAAAGCTAGTATTATCACTGGTTATTGTTGATTATCAGGTATTTTATAATGATTAGATGAAAAGGCCCCTTCTTAGACTAGTATTCCAAAGATTTGGGGAATTTGGTATTTTCTTATCAAATTCACTTCAGGTTTTGAACTACACTTTGTTTAAACATATGTCACCGTAGTGGAGTATACCCAGTGACTATCATGGCAGAGACTCTAGGAATTCAGTCATACATGTAGACTCTAGATAATAGTATTGATTAGGTAACAGAAAAAAATCTGAGTTTTTATTTTGGGGATTGCTAAGATCTGAAAATATTTATAGAATTTGCTAGAATTCTTTGATTATAATTCATGCTGTATTTTAAGACTACTTCCATGGGCTATCTGCTAGGAATTGAAATGTAATCCTGTTGTTTTATTTAAAGTGTAAACAGTGAAGCCTTAAACAAAAGAAATCCTCAAGTCCCTAAACAAGATGAACCAGCTGGAAAACCTGTGAAGTTAGTTGGGCCAGGCCAACAAGAGGTAAGCATCTTCTGTATGACGTAGATGCATGTTATTCTAGAAGTTACTGTTCTTGTAAGTAGAACACCTTATCTACTCATTTATTCACAAGTGTTCTTAGAGAAAGAAGTATGAGTTAAGTTTGTTATAATTAGGAAGGTGTACTCCAGGAAAGAAATGGTGCCTAAAACTCAGATTATATTTACAAAAAAAGAATTAGCTAAGAAAAAAGGCAGTTTATTCAAGTGACTTTGGTGTGACATTATGGCAGTGAAGAATGACTTACTTGGCTATGTAGAAGAACATTGTAGATTTGGTTTCCATTTTTATTATTTTTAAAAAATTTTTTAGTTATACATGGACACAATATCTTTGTTTATTTATTTTTATGTGGTGCTGAGGATCGAACCCAGTGCCTCACTGTGCAGGGCAAGCACTCTGCCACTGAGCCCCAACCCCAGCCCTCCATTTTTATTCTTGGTCGAAAGTAACATATTTGTATTCCTTTTGGTCATCTCTGTTATTTCTATTAATGGAAAGGGCATTGGGGTGGAGGGATATTTCAAGAAATTCATGAGCCCTCTTTCATTGGCATCGTCTCCAAAACAGAACAAAACAAAACATTGTTGTGTTATTTGTTTTATTATTTGGTCAAGCAGGTTGCCAGACCGGCCCATAAAAAGAAAGCTCGAATGGCGCGGACGCGCTCCGATTTCTTGACTAGAGGTACTTTTGCCGATGGGGAGGGGGATACAGAGGAAGATGATTACGATGACATTATTGAGCCCCTTCTCTCCCTTGACCAAGCTTCTCACTCTGAGCTAGGGCCTGCATCCAGCGTGGGTCAGGCCTCTCACAGTGACTCCGAAATGGTAAATTTACAGCAATATTAAAAAATCAACAAATCTGTTGGGAATAGTCTTTGCTAATCTAAAGCTAGCTAATCTTCACAGCTTCTTTTCATTTATTAGTTTGTACATGGGAAACCTCAGTGAACACAGTGATTGTAGCTAAGTCTTAACTTACTAGGACTCAAATAAAGGGCATTTTAACAGTATATAATGAAATCATAAATCAAGCAAAATTAAGGTTATTTATCACTGATACAGAAATTTTTGATGTTGTATCTTGAATTTTTTTTATATCCTTGAATTTTTTTTTCTGTAAGTGGCCCGATAATAAATATTTTAGAATGTTTAGGTTGTATAGACTCTTCATTTACTTGATTTGGCCACTGTAGTGTGAAAGCAGCAACGATAATAAGTATTCTAATAAAACTACAGAAACAGGCAATGGGCTATATTTGACCTGCTGGTAGTAGTAGTTTACTGAGCCCTGGTCTAGGGAATAGGTTATCTATTAAACTAATTAAGTCAATTTTAACTGAAATATTATTCACTTTTACTTATTTGTTTTGATAGGTTTTTTAAGCCTTTAAACTTGCTTCCTTCCTCCAGTTTTTCAGTAATAGAACATAAATATGAACTTTTAAAAATCCAGTGAGCAAAATGTGTCTCCCTGGATCAACACAGTCAAATAGAAGGCTCTATATAGTGTGAATTTGTATTATCATAAATTGTTAACATCAGAGTTGTGTTTTAATAAAGCTGTACTACTTAATTTTATTATAATCTTAACCAAAACTAGGGGTACACTTGTGGTTTGACAAGTATATGTTTTGTTTCCATGCATATCCATGAGTTGGTTGTGCACTATTCTTCTTTAATATTATTATTATGGAAGAAAATTTTATGATGCTCTTTGAGTTATTAAATATTTTAGTTTTTGAATTGTTTTAAGCTGTTAGAATGCGTTGAAGACCTAGGTAACTAAAATTTCTCCTAATTTCCAAAATACCCTCATTATTTTTTGTGGGCATTGGTCCCAGCTTTTTCTTGATAATGTTGGTGTTCTTTGTGGGAAAACAAAATCAGTAAAAAGAGAAGAATGTAGAACATGTTTCATGATTAAACAAATATCATTAACCTGAGCCAAACTGTAGTATTGTAGAAGTTGGAAACAGTTTGTTTTATCTATTAATATATATGATTAGAACTAATATGTCTTCAGTGTAGGATCAAATAATTCCATTTTGAAGGTGCCCTATGTTTGAGTTATAAATAATGAAATATGTTTTGTTATGATTAGTAGTTAAATATGAAATTTCATAATAGAACACACTAATTTTATTTAAAATTCTATTTTATGTAGCATATGAAATTATGTATTCATGAAAGAATTTAGCATTTATAACTGCTCTTTTGTTCCTGAGTGTTTCCTCTGTAACAACCTCTAGTACTTTTGGTAGTGGAATTCTTTCATACTGGGAACTCTTGCTGAGATGAATCAGGAAGTTGGGCTTTCTGCTCTTGAGCTTTCAGCTCCTTTGGTGTTCTAGCCTCTGATCGCCTGCTTGATGGTCACTGCATGCCAATAGTTGTAGAGCACCTTGCATAGCGTGTTAGACATCTCTCCGGCTTTCTCACTGTCTTCTTTCATTACTAGCTATTTTAGGAACAGGTGGTGGTGCTTGTTTCTCGTGGACACTTGCATGAAGAAGCTTTGCTTTCTAGAATATGCTAACAGATACTTATTAGGGTTTGGGGTGGGGAGGGTAGGAACAATTTTAAAATGTGTTTCTTTGTTTGTCTTGAAAATATACCTTGCTCTAACATTATCTGATACCATGAAGATGAAAACTTCTTGTTTCTAAGTGGGACCACCACTGTGGGAAAAACAACAACAACAGATGTTTTTAAAGGGATTTGATTTTGGAGGGCACACGGAGTTTTAAAAACTCAATTTCTTTTTCCTGGATTAAGTGATAGTATCACTGGTGTTTGCTAGAAAGTATGTCATTAAATCTTAGCAGAAATGATCACATCTGACTTTTCCAGTTGTGAAGTAATTGAACTAAAGGGATGTGGACAGTCACAAATGAATTACCTGAAGGGGGTTTGATAAACATTATATCTTGAGTTGGTTGGTAAAAATTCAGCTGTACTTGGTGTGGGGATAGGATTCAAGGGTAGTTGTTTCACTCCTTTGTGTGACTTCCATGTTTTTTAATTTCCTACTTCCAACTGCCATTTAAGTAACTATTTAGGGTCTATATGCCATTCTTATTTCTTATATCCACCATTGGGGCATTTACTGAAGAAAATGACATGTTCTGCTAAGCAGTATTTTAAAGATTAGTATAGGAAACATACTTTTCTCTGTATAGTTTCTTACACTGTTAGCCAGACTTAAAATAATCTCTGTAAAGATGTGATAGCCAGACTTAGAAAAATCTCTTTTAAGATGTGACTTCCAAAAAGCTCTCCACAATTTCATTCTTCTTTATCTCTAACAGGATAAAACTTAAATTTTTAATTATCCATCCCTCCATTTCTTTATTATTATTTTCTCTCATCCTTATCTGTGTTGTTTTCTTTCTCTTTGCTGTTCATTTCATAAAAGACTGCCAGAAAAACCTGTTGATCAAGCAAAGCTCAGTTTATTTTCATATTATAGTAGGGGAAAACCACCTTGACTGTGTCTTAGTAGTGTCTCAAAAGAAGGAAGTCAGAAGAGGTTATTTACATGATTTTTTTTTCTTTTCTTTTTTTTAAAAAATTTTTATTATGATTCTGCAATCTGTATACGGGGTAAAAATGGGAGTTTATTTACATGATTTTGATGTCTGGACTTTGTGATTTTGAACTGGGTCTTTTGTAGGGTAGAAAATGGTTGGGATTAAACACCCAGATTCTTGGATTGTCAACCCTAAGAGCAATTATACTATTGAATACACACTTTGTATTTATACCAGTATTTCATTCCCCCCAAAATCTCAAGGACAATTCATAACATGTGACTATATTCTTTAAAGATTGGGTGGATTTCTCTGTCTAGGAAGCATCACCTGGGGTTAGTGCTTTTTTGTGGCATAGTTTCTTTATTTCCTTTAGGAAAATTGGTCTTTTTAATAAAGCTTTTTATCTAATGTCCGTTGTGATAAACCATTTTTTTATTATGAAATTATCCATTTCATCTAACTTTTCATATTTATTTTAGATTTTTGTGTATTTATTTAGTCATTTGTCTATTTTGTTAATTTTTTTCACAAAATTGCAGGATTTTAAAATGTTTTTTCCCATTCTCTACTTTTTTGATTTTTGCTTTTATCTGTATTATTTATTTCCATGTGTTTTCTTCTTCTTTTTTTTTTTTTTTAAGAGAGAGAAAGAGAGAGAATTTTTTTTAATTTATTTTTTAGTTTTCGGCAGACACAACATCTTTGTATGTGGTGCTGAGGATCGAACCCGGGCCGCACGCATGCCAGGCGAGCGCGCTACCGCTTGAGCCACATCCCCAGCCCAATATTTCCATGTGTTTTCTTTAGTTTATTAATTTCTTATTTTTCTAGATTTTGATTTGGGAATTCATTTATTTATTTTTTATTCATATAGTTTTTTAAGTCAACATATTTTTCTGATGATAATTTTAGATGTATCTCAGATTCTAATATGTGAATATTTGATTACTTTTTGGCTCAAAATATTAAGTTTTGGTTTATATTTCTTTTTTTCTGCTATTTTTGAATTCTAATTTCTTATTCAAAAGATTTTTCAAATATATGTAAGAATATTTAATTAATTTTGAGAATTTCTGTTTCCTTCACTTGTGATTTTTTTGTTTTGTGTTGAGGGGGATATGGTTAATCACTAAGTTGTTTTGGTTCTCATTTGGTATTCATTTGCTTTGTTTTCTTGTATCTTTGTATAGATTTTGCATGTTTTAATACATTTTGTCCATTTGGTTGGTTTACAAGATAAGTTCAAGACCTTCCTCCTTGTCAGTGTAACAAAGTACAGTTTCTTTATGAAAAGCTTGTTTTCATTTTGGTGATAATGGGGGCAATGTTGTTTTTCCTCTGGGGTTGGGTTTTTTTTTTTTTTTTCTTCCTTTCCTTTTCTTTTTACTTGCTAGATTCTGAATTCTGCCCCCTTTTTCTCTTCACTACTCCATCTCTTTAGTGCACCTCTTCCTTTTTATTTACCTTCTTTTACTCAGAAACAATGTTTTTTTTTTCCCTGAGCCCATGCATTTTTTAAGTCCTTTCCCTGAAGTCAATCTGCTTGTAATCTGTTATGTTTTTACACTTTGAATGGACTGTCTTTTTCTGGCATTTACTTTATTACCTCAGCTCATTTCTAGTTTTACTCTTTTCACTTTTGCATAGTTTTTCTTAGATTGCCCTTGAACTATGAAGAGTGAGACTATGAGAGAAATTGCTAGGATTATGTATTTATCTTTCTGCTGACAGGTAATTTGAATTGTTTTGCTAGGCATAGTGCTGTTTTATTTTTTCTTACTTTTTAATTGTTTTTGGAGATTATGCCACTATTTCTGTATTTAGGCGGCTTCCATTATTGCTAGTTTCCTAGAAGTCATTTGTTAGTGTCCTAGAAGTCATTTAAAACTCATGTTTAAGGCACACTTGATCTGTGAATTTCCCTTGCCTCTTTTTTTGTTCCTTGAACAATTTATCTGTTGAGGAAATATTTGTTTAATGTCAGATTTCCTACATTTCTGGATTTTGCTAAATGTGAACCTTCATTGTTGGTTTAAATGATATACCAGTTTATAGTGAATACAAGGGATAAAATATGTATGTAGAGTCAAGAGTTCAGATCATATTTGGGTTTATTTTTTTTTAAGACTATGTTTTATTCTTGGTGAATGTATTCTTTTTTGGGGAGTAGAGGGTACTAGGGATCAACTAAGGAGCACTTAACTACTGAGCCACATCCCCAGCCCTTTTTATTTTTATTTCAAGACAGGATCTGGATAAGTTGCTTAGAGCCTTGCTGTGTTGCTGAGGCTGGCTTTGAACTTGCGATCCACCTGCCTCAGCCTCCCAAGCCGCTGGGGTTACAAGTGTGCGTCTGTACTCTGGCTCTTGGTGATAGGCAGTATTACCTTTTGTGAGTGATGGATACTGTTACCTATAATCCTTTCAGGTGGTCCTTTCCCTCTTGGGTTGTTTATATACACAACAGTGTTGATTAGTATTCAACTACATACTCAGAGGTGTCCTTTTGTAGTTTCCAGAGTTCTTTTGTGGTGTGTCCCTCTCTAGTATTCTGTCTTTTTGTTTCTAGTTTTCTTAATGGCCTTGCACTTGTCAGCTTCATATGTTCAATTCATGGATTTTATCAAGTTTCATCTGGGTTCTCCCTCTCTATATCACAGTCTATAAACTATTTTAAGACAGTAAAAAGGGGCAGGTGTAGGATTCACAATGGACGTTTCCCATATATTGTCTTAAAAACTGCTGTTTTGTATTCTCATTTTGTCTATTTAAGTTTCAGGCAAAAGGGTAAAGCAGGCCCCTGTTACTCCATCTTGTCCAGAAACAGATACCTGCTCATTAAATTTTAATATTTCAGGATACTCTGTTTCTGTTGATTAAAAAAGGCTAAAGAAATGATATTGTGACTATGGAGAAACAAAATACTAGGAAACAAATATGTAAGAAGAATTCTCTCCTGAAATGGGATTGTCTTTAGAGGAACACATTGTAAACAAATGGAACAAGAATTGCCAATTGAAATTCAGGTCCCAGTTTGATAGCTTTGTAAATTGTTTATAGTTTAGAACATTAGTAATGATAATGATCCTTTATTCTTGGGTTCTTTGTTTTTTCTTATCTTCTATGTGTTCTAGCTCCTCTAAACCTTGACTGAATATAATGAGAATCTATAATAGTTAAGCGGTAAAAATAATTACCACCTTTTGTTATAAATAAAAAGAGGTTTGAAAGGCAATACAAAGTGTTCTAGATTTATCAAGTGATTGGATTTAAGTATCTTTGAATAGTTATGACTATTTACTTTTCTATATGAGATTCTTTGTTAACTGGTAGGTCCTAGGTAGGTCCTATTCAACAATTTCATTGACCCAAATTCTCCATAATTCTGATTACTTTACATTGTTTAATAGAGTTTTCAGTAGGTTCTGTTATTTCAAAAAATCTCTGCATAATATGAATTACATTTTTGCATAATTTAAAAGCAACTATAATTCTCAAATAATTCTATAACCTTAGTTTTAATTATAGTGCTATCGTGTATTTACTTGGTTTTAAAGTATTTGCATATGTAATTATTGCAGACATCACAGAGATTTTCTTCAGTTGATGAACAAGTAAAACTTCATAAGGCAATGTCTCAAGGAGAGATTACGAAGTTGACAGTGAGACAGAAGTCTTCAGATTCGGATATAAGGTATAAACTATTCACAGGATTAATAGTAATATAATTTTATTTAATGTCTGAATAGTTAAATACTGTGCTTTTGAATTAATTATTTTACTGACATTTCAAAAAATAAACACCAATATTTACAGACACATAGTAGTTTAGGAACATATGTTGAGCTTTAACTTCCTATATACATTATGATTTGGGGGAAGTCTGTAAATCATTATGTGACTTGTGGTCTTTTGTTATAAAAGAGATTAGACTAGATGAAATTGAAAATATGTTCAGGCTTTGGACTTGGTTTTGTCCTTAGCTAAGTGTTTCAGAAAAAGGTTTATAGGAAATAATTCTAATCTCTTTAAGAGAGCATATGAATTTTTTATTTTCAAATAAATACCTTTGTGTCATGTTGTGTTATATAAACATTTGGACCCTCACTGAAAACTTCTTTTTGGTTCATGACCCTATGGTAGACTAGTTCATCACTAACTGTAGGGGACTTTTCCAAGGTATCCAAACATAATGGAAGTCAGAAATTGGGGAATAAGGTATAACATAGTAAAAAGAACATATGCCTGGAAAGTATACCTGTTATATATTTAATTTCTACTCCCTCCCCCTACAAGAAGGACAAAACAAAATACATACACAAAACTAGAAGCAGAGTGTCTTGATAGGAGAAAGCTGAATCCTAAACCATTTGGGTAAAGCTGAGAAGGAAGTATCTAGTTTCTTCCCCAGTCTTAACATAAAACAAGAAATTTATCTCTAGAAAGGATAAAACAGAAGATCACTTGGAGTTTACAAGATTCCATTGAGGGCCAGGGCACATATTTGGAACAAGGGGATTTAAAATCCCCTAGCTTTTTTCATTTCCTTAGTTCCTACACTCTCTCATACTCTTTAGGAAAATGGGCCAAAGAGTCCTTGGGACGTTAGTCCTCCCCCTTCCTGTAAAATTGGTCAGCCACAGAACTTACAAGGAAGAATATAGTTTGGAAGCCTCATTAATGCAATGCACACTAGAGTTTCTAAGCAGCATTTTAAAAATCTACTTTTAGTCATATTTAGACACCAGTAATCATCATACATTTGAGGACCATGCCTTACAATGAAGAAACCAAAACTAAGAAGAAACTTGGAGAAAATACACTATTCAGAGGATAGAAAACTTCCAGGCAGATAAATGCAACTATCATGGAACTTCTGCATAATAAATATAATTACATCCATGAAACTAAACATGGTGCATGAAAGAGAAACATTCATAATAAAAACAACTTTTGAAATTAAAAATATGAAGGCATAAAACAGCAACTCAGCTTGTAAGAAAAGTGCAGAACATATCAGAAAGATGAGCAAAAAAGATAAAGAGGTGGAATTACAGGGTTTTTAGGAGATCTAATGATTCTCATGCTAGGAGTTCTTGAAAGATAGAATGGAGAAAATGGAGAGGACAAATAATTAATAGTAATTTAACTAAATTTCACAGAACTAAATTATGTAAGTTTCCAGATTGGAAGAGGCTGCTTAGTAGTCATAATGGATGAAAATAGATTCATAACCCCCCAAAAGCATACATCATAAAAAGAAAGAGACAAAGTAATTTCCATGATGATGATGAAAGCAGTAAGGGAAACCACTCTAGATTGGAGCAGGTTAGAAAGTGCTGGGAAGCATTTCTTCAAGATGAAATGGAGTACCTAATATGTTTGAACATATTGAAAGGAGATATATACAAAAGGAAAAACATCTGAAAATAAATTGTATGTCGAAGAATGAGCAAATGTAAGCTGGGAATTTTGGCACATGACTGTAAGTTCAGCTCCTAGGAGACTGAGGTAGAAGGTTTGCAAGTTTGAGGTCAGATTGGGCAACATAGCAAGACATAAAAAGGGCTGGGAATGTAGCTTAGTGGTAGATTGCTTCCCCAGCCTTCTGGGTTCAATTCCCAATACAAAGAAAACAAGAAAAGTGAACAATGTAAAACAAAGCAATTTTCATGAACAAATAAGGAAAAAACCCTCTAGAATAAAATAGGTCATATTGGGAACTACATGTCTTATCTGTGATTAGTTACAAAGTAAAAATGAATACTGAATATTTCTAAAAGTAAATCCTGAATATTGAGCTACCTAAAATTAGAGTATTTGTGGAAGAGAGTAAGAGTAGTGGAACATGCTGAATTGTTATCTGTGGTCGTGGTATAATAGCAATATAAATACTAAATAGCAGAAGAACCAATTATATAAATTCAAAAGGATCGTCTTGAGGAGAAGAAAGTGGGGAGAGAGTGGCAGAGGGATGCTGTTGTTTTTAATAAGCCCTGTAGAATCATTTTTCTTTATAAGATATGAATATAAAAGATAAATAATTTCTTTCTCTCTCTCTCTTTTTTTTTTGTAAAAACATGGGATCCAAAACCAAATAACCCTGATTTTAACTTCCATTTTCGTCAGCTCTTTAAGCCTCAGTTTGCTTAAGTATAAAGTACAGATAATAAAACTTCTCTCTCATGGTAGTTGTGAAAATTAGGAATCTAGCATGTAAGGAATAATAGATGCTCAGATATTTAAAGTTTTATTTACATACTCATGTATTTACAAGTTAATGTACAATAAACCTCCTAATACAAGGTTAGTATATATAATACATGATCAGTAAGTGTGAGCTGTTTTTATTATCTAGAGATATTTCCTTGATGTATAGTAGGTGTGATTCTCAACTTTGTCTCTCACTAACTGGGTAACTATATGAGAGTTCCCTAATGTTTATTATTTTTATTATTTTAAAATGTCTTTATTGTTGTTGATAGACCTTTATTTTGATTATTCATATGTGGTGCTGAAAATCGAACCCAGTGCCTCACATGCCAGGCAAGTGCGCTACCACTGAGCCCCAGCCCCAGCCCTATTTTTATTTTTTGGTACCAGGAATTGAACCTAGAGGCGCTAAGCCACTGAGCCACATCCCCAGCCCTTTTTTATTTTTATTTAGAGATAGGGTTTCCCTGAGTTGCTTAGGGCCTTGATAAGTTACTGAGGTTGCTTTGAACTCAGGATCCTCCTGCCTTGGCCTCCCAAGCCACTGGTTTACAGGTGTGCACCACCTCACCTGGCTTTTTTATTTTGAGACAGGGTCTAGCTAAGGTGCTGAGGCCTTGTTAAGTTGCTAAGACTGGCCTTGTCTCCCAAGTTGGTGGGATTATAGATGTGCATCACCACGTCCACTTCCTAATGTTTAAATCTCCAGTTTTTCACATGTATAATATTTATAGTACAGTTTGATTATCTCTGTTTCAAAATGTTTAGTACATTTAGTGTTTTGATTTCAGATTTTTCAAATTTTGGAATCTGCATATATATAATCAGAGATTTTGAGGATGGGAGTCAAGGCTAAACATGAAATTAAGTTCCATATACACCTGTAGTCTATATTTTGACTGTGACCTGTCACCTAAGTCTGTTGAATTTTCTACTTGTGGTGTCATAGCACTCAGAAATTTTTGTGTTTTATAGCATTTGGGATTCATATTGTTTTGAATTAGAGATATTCAACTTGTAATTTGTTAGAAGTAAAGTTGTTAAAGTACTCCTATATAAGCACTTAGCATTGTGCCTAAAACAAAATAAGAATTCACATAAGTAGTGGCTGTTGTTAATTATACTATTTTAATTTGTGAATATAAGTTAGTGACATTAAAACGTTTATAATAATAAAAAGATGTAAAATTATACATACATTATGATTGCAGTGATATTAAAATTGACATGGATAAAAACTGGAAAGAAATTACAAATAATGTAAAGTAATGTTTTTTGGAGTGGTTGGTGGTTAATAATGATTTATTTTAAAGTATTTTATTTGTTATTATAATATCTATATGCTAAATCCAACCTGGATGGGAGATAGTAATGATAAAATATCAATTTAGGAATCAGAAAGCCTGTGTTGGAATCCTAGTTCCACTTCTTTGTACCTATTTTGTTTTAGAAAATTATTTAAATTTTCTGAGAATTATTATTTTTATATTTAAGATGAGGAAACTACCTTTCAGGTAAAGTTAAAATTGAAGGTTGAATATGATTAAATTTAAATGAGGTAATATAAATGAAAAATTTATAAAATCTAGTATGATATACAGAATCACTGGGACATGCTGATTTCTTTCTATACCTTTTTTTTTTTTCTTTCTCCTTTTAAACAGACCTCAGAGAGCTAAGATGAAATTCTGGGCCAAAGGGAAACAAGGAGAGAAGAAAACTACTAGAGTAAAACCTGCCATTCAGTCAGAGGTTTCAGCAATCTTTGCTGGTTCAGATGTGATTCCATCTCATCAGTTTCCAGATGGTAAAAATTGACAGCCAATTTTATTTGACTCTTTTTAAAATTTTATTTAAAATTATATTTTCTATTTACTCTTTCTGAAAGTTTGCTATTTCTTTAGAATTTATAATGACAATCCTGTTGGCTAGATATTCTAATGAAGTAGGACCAGGATTGTTAAATGCTTCCTTAATAAGTAAAATTACAGTATTCCTATATTAAAAGCTCCAAGAATATGTGGCAGAAAACAATGAAGCAACAACCACCTCAGGAATGATTTTGAATCTTAGGTGAACCTTAGTCTTCTGTACTGCCAACATTTAGCCATTATTCATTTATTTAACAAATATGTATTTAAAAAATTTTTTTTTAGTTGTAGACAGACACAATGCCTTTATTTTATTTATTAATTTTTATGTGGTGCTAAGGCTCGAACCCAGTGCCTCACATGTGACAGGCAAGTGCTCTACCACCGAGCCATGACTCCAGGCCCAATCACGTATTATTAGTATTAACAACAACAGCCCCTCTTTGAGTGCTTACTACTTGCAGGGCACTATTCTAAGCATATTACATGTATTAACTCAATTGATCCTGACAACAGTGTTGCCAGCGTTGATATTATTCTCATGTATAAACTGAGAATAATAATTATATCAATGAGGAAGTTACTTATTTATACACATATAGTAATTTGAAGAGTTAAGATTTGAATCCAGGTAGTCCAACTCCAGAATCCACATTCTTAATCACTATTATATGTCAATGTCTACCAAATGCCTAGTGCCTTATAATATAGCTATTATTTTTGTTTTGGAGCATGAATAATAACATATTCAGAAGTGCCCAATAGTTAGCGTTACTCACTCTCTAAGGATTCTAATAATTCCACTATTAGATTACCCCTTCTTCCTAGGCCTTTTTCTGAGTGATGACAAAGAGATTTTTAGCTACTATGTAAAGATGTTAATTATCTTCAGGGATATACATCAGAGGTGGGTACGTGGTAATGAGTGGGTGAAATATCAGAACTAACTAAAATAGAGATCCTAAGAAGAAAGCTGTTATCTTTTAAGGAAGGATAGAATAGAATCAGTAGTAATAAGTAAGCAAAAGCTTTTCATATCTAGGACAAAATAAAGGGGCAAGGAAGAAGGATCATAAATCATGACTTAGGAATGGATGGCCTGGAGCAGAGGCACCTGTCAGCTCAAAAGGAGTGGTAGAAATGTGTCTTGTGGCTTTGCTTATATCTGCTAACAAACTGATATGGATAATTAGTGGATACTGCAAGTTTAGTTTGGAAAACTTTGAATTTTCTTACTGTTGCATTACCAAGGTGTTCAGTTTCTTATATCTTGTCTAGTTGACAATAATCAATCTAAATTTTTCATTTTCCATAATTATATTCTTTGTTGTTAATCCCAAAGATGCATAAAGATTTTAGTTGAAGTAATATTATCAGACTTTATTATGTTTGCTTTATAAAGACACCTATATAAAAATTAGAATTATAGCTTTTTATTTTCATTTGGGTAAAATTTTATTAATGTAGCTCTTGATTTATAATGCTAAAATAATATTATGGACAATTTTTATAGAGTCATTTTCTTAGAAGACACTATACCAGTTGAAATAATTGGATACTTGTTATGCAATGGAATTAAAATCAGTCAATATCAATTTAAATGTACTTATATTCTGTATCTTTTTTAAATATTTTTTTTTAGTTATTGGTGGACACAATATCTTTATTTTTATTTGGTGCTGAGGATTGAACCCAGTGCCTTATGCATGCTAGGTGAGCACTCTCCCTCTGAGCCACAATACCAGCCCCATATTCTGTATCTTTATATTCTTTATTCTGGTGTCATGCTTCAGATTTAATTTGTTTCAATTCCTGCTTTAGTTGGCAGTTATTATTATATATTATATTATATATTATATATTGCTTCATTATCAAAGTTAGCTTTTAGATGGAATGAGAGGCTGGGGTTGTAGCTCAGTGGTAGAGTGCTTGCCTCACATGCATGAGGCGCTGGGTTCAATCCTCAGCACCAATAAAAATAAAAAATATGGAATTAGAAGCATTAGGGAAACAAGCATGTATGAAGTGAGAGGCCAACGTTCTCAACAGGCTTCAGATGGGGCTTGACAAGTCTGTTCTAGTTCTAGATTGTAAAGATTACATGGAATCATATCTCTGGTGTAAACAATTGCAGAGAAAAATTCACTGTTACAGACAAAGCCAGTTTATTTCTACAATTTTGGGAGAAATTCAGACAGTTATATAACAAAATTCTAAAGACTAAATACAAAAGTAAGACAGTTGAGTTAACTGTCTCCCTAACAGCTTGCCAGCTATCCCCAACTATTATCACTGAAACTTGTGGCTATAGAACATAGTAAATAAAATTAATAATTTAATAATTTTCAAATTTCACTGGCTTGTTAAACTTATATATAGCTGGATATTCTTTTAAACAGATGTAGCAGAGATGAGACTAGATTAATAGTCAGTATTTAATATGCTAGTTGCATACTCTCCGCTTTTCTTTGGAACTGAGGTCTTGGGATTTAGGTTGATGTTCTGTATGTTCTATAAGGCACTTTCATCCACGTTTCCAATATCAGACCTTAGCTCTTTGGAAGATATAATAGTATTTACCATTAAAATGTAGTGATAATTTTAGCCAGGTAAGGTGCTACATGCCTGTAATCCCAGCAGCTCAGGAGGCTGAAAAAGTAGGATTTCGAATTCAAAGCCAGTCTCAGCAACAGCGGGGCACTAAGAAACTCAGTGAGACCCTATCTCTAAAGAAAATACAAATCAGGGCTGGTGATGTGGCTCAGTGGTTGAGTGTCCCTGAGTTCAATCACCGTACCAAAAAAAAAAAAAGTAGTGATAATTCTTATTTACATTTTCTGTACGATTGTACAATCTGGATTTATTGTATACCTTCCTGACCACAAACATTAATGTTACTTTTCTTTTCAGATATTTTGTGTATTTCCTTCAGTAACTTACTAAAGGACGTTAAAAAGAAGGGCATGGGGATGATCAATATTTTTTACTAAATATATATTTTTGGGTATTCTATCTTGATTTGTAGAATTAACTCATTATAACCCAACACCTCCTTTGAGCCCAGAACTACCTGGTAGTTGCCGGAAAGAATTCAAAGAGAACAAAGAGCCTTCTCCAAAGGCAAAGCGAAAGCGAAGTGTGAAGATTAGCAACGTGGCTTTGGATTCTGTGCATTGGCAAAATGACTCTGTCCAAATCATAACAAGTACTAGTGATTTAAAGAGCATGGATGAATTTCTTCTGAAAAAGGTACACTTTGCTTGCTGAGTTAAGCCTCTGAGCAGCGTTGATTATGGATGGATATATGTGTATAAAAATAAGATGTGCTCTTCAGAGATGGTTACATATGCTTCAGTAAGTTAGATTGTTATTTACCAGAATATAGAATATGCATTAATAGAATATGCATTAATCCAACTATATAGATGGTATGTAAGGTTTTAGGCTTTATTATTGACTTCCAGTTCACTATAATTGCGACATTGCATTTCAGATATGAAGGTAAGGCTTGTCCTTGGCCATTTGGAATTGTTCTTATGGTAATAGAACAATAAAATCATATAGTGTTCACAGGGACCTTAGAAATTATCTAGTATTAATATAAAAGTTTGCTTATATAGTCATACTTTTACCTGGGTTGTATCATAAGAGCCTGTAGCTTCCACTTTCATGACAGGCATTGTTGAAAAGACAGTATAATTCAGCTTTTGCATTTGTCTCTTTTTAATTAGTTGATTTTATACATTTCTTTCTGTTGCCTTCAGATGCATGACCTAGATAATGAGGACAGCAAGAAGGATACACTAGTGGATGTTGTATTTAAAAAAGCCCTAAAAGAATTTAGGCAGAATATCTTCAGCTTTTATTCATCAGCATTGGCGGTAAGCTAGACTGTTAGCAGATATTCATCAATTCAACATATGGAAAATTTAATAATAATGATTTTAGAAGATAGTACAGAGGCTTTGTTCAAATAGAGATTTCTCTGTTTCTTGTTTGTGTTTTATGGGTAAAGAAAAGTATACCAAATATTAATACCTTCCCTAAATTTCCTTGAGTAGTTTTTCCATATTGTGAGCTTTTTTATTGTATTTAGGATGTTGATTCAGGTATTTTGGGTAGGATTCTTTTTCACCCAGTGGCTCTGTAGTTTTTTGACTTCTCAGTCCTTTTAGCTCTGTTGCCAAGCTATCATTTCCAGTTCTCCTATGTGTGGAATATATTATGCTACTTTTTCTCAGTGGAATTATGACAGCATATGTCCATTGATTTCTTTTTTTTTTTTTTAAGTTATTTATGGATCTTTTTTGGTACATTTTTTAAATTGTCAATGGACATTTATTTTTTTTATCTATTTATATATGGTGCTGAGAATTGAACCCAAGTACCTCATACATGCTAGGCAAGCACTCTACCACTGAGCCATAACCCCAGCCCCATGGTCATTGATTTTTGTATGACATTTCTGGCATTCAAATTTGTCTTATACTTTCACATGATATTTGTCATATTTTAGAAAATTTATTTTTATTGCTCAATAATGCTTTGGTCTATTGAATTATTATTAGTGTTTATAAATCATCTTTTATAAATGATTCATAACTGATTTTTCTTTGTTGTTTTTGTTCAATCTTTTTTTTTTTTTTTTGGTACCTGGGATTGAATCCAGGAATGCACTGAACCACATCCCCAGCATTTTTTGTTTTATTTTGAGACAGGATCTCACCGAATTGCTTATGGCCTCAGTAAGTTCCTGATGTCAGGCCTCAAATTTTCGATCTTCCTGCCTCATCCTCCTGAATTGCTGGGATTATAATCATGCCCCACCACATCCAGCCTTGTTCAGTAGATTCTTCAGTTCATTGTGAAGAGAGAAATCAGAGAAACTTTTTAGTGTAAACTCTATTTTTATATTTTCATCAGCATAAGGTTTTTATTTTGTTTGCTTGTTTTGTTGTTGTTTTGGTACTGGGGATTGAACCCAGAGACACTGTACCACCGAGTTATACTCCCAGCCTTTTTTTCCCCTAAGTTGCCAAGGCTGGTTTCAGTCTTACGATCTTCCTAGGCAATGCATAATAGTGATTTTCTAACACTGTATCAAAAAAAGGTTAGTCTCTAAGTCTGAAGAGGGAAATAAATTTTAAATATTCACAATAGTTTTTCATTATTGAAAAGCTTTTTTTGTTTCTCATAAGATTCCATATTCTTTTAAACAAGTTAGAAGGAATTCCATTTAGATACTTTGCAAGTAATATTGTGGTTTTCTAAGGATGCCACTCTTCTTCAGGTAAGTAGAGATAAAGAAGGTTACCTGTTATGTCATTAAGCAAAGAATCAAGTATTTTCTACAAGTATTTATTTAGAGAGTAGAATTCTCTAAATAAAGTTCATTTTGGGGGAAATAAGTAAGAGATAAAATTAAAAAGCTAGATGTAAGGGAGCAGTTCTCAGGTTTTGTTTATTTATTACATTGTTTAACTGTTAGGCTATGACTAAAACTTAGGAAGTTTTATTTTTATATAAACTTAGAAGTTTATAGATACCACATGACTTCATCAGCCTGCTCATGAAGAACTTCATCAGATCCTTATTTTTATTCTAAATATTACCACTAAAAGTTTAATCAATCTTCTGTGTTTAAAGAATCTCTTCATAAAACTTTACATTTCTTCTATTTTTTATTAGATGGATGATGGTAAAAGCATACGGTATAAAGACCTCTACGCACTGTTTGAACAGATTCTGGAAAAGACCATGAGGCTTGAGCAGCGTGATTGGAGTGAATCTCCAGTGAGAGTTTGGGTCAACACTTTCAAAGTGTTTTTAGATGAATACATGAATGATTTCAAGACTTCAGACAGCACAGCCACAAAGGTAAATGTGATATATTTTGATATACATGTATTTTGATATATTCAGTTATGAATCCTTTTAAAAACTGTTTAGGACAACTAGTTTGTGAATAAAACATTATAGATACACATCAATTTAGTGTTAGCTCCTTCAAACTTGATTCTTTTAAGTTTATCAGACTGTATTTTCTTTTTTTTTTTTTTAAGAGAGAGATAGAATTTTTTTTAACATTTATTTTAGTTTTCGGCGGACACAACATCTTTGTTGGTATGTGGTGCTGAGGATCGAACCCGGGCCGCACGCATGCCAGGCGAGCGCGCTACCGCTTAAGCCACATCCCCAGCCCAGACTGTATTTTCTAAACTCTCTGCGATGAATGCCTTTTTCATTGAATTAAAGTATAGTGTGGTACCCTCAAGATTATACTCTCAGTAGGAATTAGCACATGAAATTTCCTTTTGAAAAACGATGGTTAATGATGTGATTCATTGTATTATTTAGTGGCCTTTATATAAGGACCCACCAGTTTTATTTCCCCTTGAATTAGTTTTTAGGAAAATAGGGCCTTGTGCATGCAAGGTAAGCACTCTACCAACTGAGCTATATCCCTAGCCTCTATTTGTTGTTTTGATTATTTTTTATTGGTGCATTATAATTGTAGGAGTAGGATTCATTGTGGCATATTTATAAATGCACAAAACATAGTTGGATCAATTTTGCTTTTTAGTACTTCCCCTTTCTATCCTTCCTCCCTGCCTTGATACTTTTCTCTACCCTGCTGGTCTCTCTTCTGTTTTCATGAAATCCTTTTAAAAATTTTTTTCTCTAGATTCCACAGATGAAAGAAAACATAACCCTTGGCTTTCTGAGCTTGGCTTATTTCATTTAATATTTCCCACAAATTTTTTCTTCTTTATGGCTAAATAAAACCCCACTCTGTATGTACACCACTTTTCTTTATGCATTCATCTGTTGATGGACACCTAGATTGGTTCCATAATTTGGCTATTCTGAATTGTGCTGGTATAAGCATGGGTACACATGTATCATTATAGTATGCTGACTTTCTTTTGAATAAATATTGAGGAGTGGTATACCTGGCTTATGTGGTTGTTCCATTCCTAGTCTTTTAAAGAACCTCTATGTTGATTTCCATAGTGGTTGTACTAATTTGCAATCCCACCAACAGTATGTGTTTTTCTTTTTCTCACTTCCTTGATAGCATTTATTTTTTGTATTTTTAAAAAATATTTTTAATTATCAATGGACCTTTATTTTACTTATTAATATGCAATGCTGAGAATTGAATCCAGTGACTCACAAATGCTAGGCAAGCACTCTACCACTGAGCTACAATCTCAGCCCTCTTATTTTTATTCTTGATGGCAGCTATTCTAACTGGAATGACATGAAATCTCAGTGTAGTTTTGATTTGCATTTCACTAATTGTTGAAAATGTTCTACATAAGAATATTCAGGTTTCCCAGCACTATTTTTTAAAAAATCTTTTTGTTGTTCTTGTTGCCTTTGCTGGGAATTACATGACTAACTATGTGGGTTTGTCTCTGTGTTCTCTTTGATCTATGTGTCTGTTTTATGCAAGTACTATTCTGTTTTTTGTTATTTTACCTCTGTAGTATAATTTGAAATCAGATATTGTGGTGCCTCAAGTACTTCTGTTTTTGCTCACAATTGCTTTGGATGTTCTGTGTCTTTTATTCTTCAATATGAATTTTAGGACTTTTTTTTTTTCTAGTTTTGTGAAGATTGTATTGAATCTGTGGATCACTTTTGGTAATATGGCCATTTTAACAGTATTAATTCTGCCTCGCTCTGATCCTTGGCGGTCTTTCTATCTTAGCTCTGGAAAAAATTTCAAGTACTGTATTGAATAGGAGAGGTGAGAATGAACATCCTTGTCTTGTTCCTCATTTTAGAGAAAGTATTTTCAGTTTTCCCTATTCAGTAGAATGTTGGCTTTGAGTTTGTCATATATAACCTTTATGATATTGAGGATAGGTTTCTTTTAGCCCTAGTTTCTTAAGTATTTTATCATGAATGGCTGCTGAATTTGTTGTCAAAGACTTTTTTTTAATTTGCATCTATTGAGATGACCATGTGGTTTTTGTCCTTTATTCTGTTGATGTGGTGAGTTATGTTTATTGATTTGCATATGTTAAACCGTCTTGTATCCCTGGAATAAAGCCAAATTTGATTTTGGTAGATAATCTTCTTAATGTATTGTTGAGTACAGTTTGTTCATATTTTATTAAGGATTTTTGCATCTATGTTCACCAACTGTAGTTTCATTTTCTTGTTGTGTGGAATGATTTGAAGAAAACTGGCATTAGTTTTTTTATGAAAGATCTGATAGAATTCACCTGAAAATCCATCTGGTCCTAGGCTTTTCTTTGTTGGAAGGATTTTTGTTATTCCTTCTTCTTATTACTTATTACTGTTCAGCTTAGATTTTCTATATTTTTCCTGTATATTTTTATATTTTTCCTACATATATTTATATATATATTTTAATATTTTCTTGGTTCAATGTCCAGACATCCATTTTTTCTACATCTTCCAAACTATTGGAATATAATTTTCAAAATAATGATCCTGTGGATTTCAGTGATGTCTGTGGTGATACCTCCTTTTTCATCTTGAATTTTATTAATTTGGGTCTTCTTTTTCTTTGACTAATGGTTTACTAATCTTTTTTATCTTTACAAAGAACCAACTTTTATTGTGTTGATCCATTGTATTTTATTATTTTCTATATCACTAATTTTGGTTTGACTGGAAGAGTGACTGTAGTCACTTCTTTCCTTCTACTGGTTATGAAGGTTATGAAATTGTTGTTATTTTGCAGAACTTTGAAGACTTTCCTCTTAGAACTGCTTTCATAGTGTTCCAGAGATTCTGGTATGCTATATCTCTATTCTTGTTTGATTCTAAGAATTTTTTTATATATATCTTTATTTTATTTATTTATTTTTATGTGGTGCTGAGGATTGAACCCAGGACCTTACATGTGCTAGGCGAGCACTCTACCGCTAAGTCACCACCCCAGCCTCCAATTCTAAGAATTTTTAAGTTTCTCTCCTGAATTTTTTTTCATGATCTTACTTCTTCATTATTCACAGGTGTGTTGTTCAGTCTCCATGTATTTAGTTTCTATGGTTTTTCTTGGTTTTAATCTCTAATTTCATTCAATTATGATCTCATAAGATGTGAAGATTTAAATATTCATATTTGTATTTGCTAATTTGTGGCCTAAGGTATGGTCTTTTGTGGAGAAAGTTGAGAATGATGTGTGTTCAGCTGTTACGAAATGAAATGTTCTGTAGATTTGGGTCTGAAATGTCTCTGCTGATTTTATTACTAAATGGCTCTGTTGGTGAGAGAGAAATGTTGAAATTACCCACTATTACTGTTGGGGGATCCGTCTGAGCCTTTATGTCAAATAGTGTTTATTTAATGTAATTAGTTGCACTGATATTTGTATATAAACATTATCTATTGTTATATCTTTTTATTGAGTTGTTCCCTTTATCATTATATAATGACCTTCTTTTATCTCTTCTGATTGTCTTGAAGTCTACTTTGTTGGAAAGAGAGTAACTACCCTGATTGCTTTCCCGTTTCTGTTTTTATAGAATATTATTTTCCATCCTTTCACTTTTATCCTATGTCTTTGCCTGTGAGGTGTGTCTCTTGTAAGCAACTTAGATTTGGGTCTTGTTTAAGTAACTTCTGCATTGCTGGCTTAGTAGTCATCAGTTCTTTTATTTTTTAGTTCATGGTTATCTTGGAAGGTTTATATATCTCCTTTAATTCTAAAGGATAGCTTTGCTGGATATAGCACTCTTGGTTGGGTTTTTTTTTTTTTTTTTTTCATGAGGACTTGATACATCCTTCCAAGACCTCCTGGATATGAAGGTTTCTTCTACGCAATCTTGTTATTCATACTGGTTTACTTGACATTTATCTTTGAGGTTTATTCTGTATATTTGGCATTTAATTAAAATGTGTCATGGTTTAGTATCTGGATGCCCATTTCATTTCTAAGGTTTGAAAATATTTCTGCTGTTATTTCACTAAATAGGCTTTCAGTGCCATTAGCCTGTATCTCTATTTATTCCTCTATACCAATAATCCTTAAGTTTGGTCTGTTAAAGCTGTCCTACAATTCTTGTGTATTTTGATTATCTTCCCCCAGAAGATAGTTTTTTATTTTCAGTGAAATGAAAATCTAACACTAGAGAGATTTAAGTTATTTCATGCCAAACTATGGAAAGACGTTCTTATTGAACCTTCCTGATACCCATACCCATACCCCCTCTATGTTTTTCTGAACATAGAGGATAACCTCATTAACTTACCTCTGATGCAAATCAGGGAGGCTTTTTCTTTCTTGGGTGTGTTTGTTCACCTATTTACTTTTTGGAAGGAGGGCCCCTGTTTGTAGCATAGTGATCAGATCTTTCCCTGGTTGGGAATGTTCTCTTGTGTGCCCACCTGTAGAAATGCTTTATGCACCCAGAACTACCAAATAGGTGTGAGCTCACCCGTGTAGATTTCAGGGTGCATGGCAACTTGTGGCAGAACATGGTGGCCCAACAGTCATGGTGCTGAGTGGCTCATGGGAGGTAAAGGGTAGCTGCCCCCAGCTAGGGCTTGCACATCTGTGGGCCTGCCTCTTAGCATGCTGGGCTGTGAACAGTATCTGTGGAGCATGTATATGCAGGCTACCTCTGGCAAGTACAGCACTTCTGGGGCTTGGGTGGCGTCTGCCAGCTGCTGAGGCTTGTGCAACATCATGTCCACATCATTCTGCTTAACATTCTGCACCCAACATCTCTGGGTGCACATTCGTGGGCTGCTTCTATGTGGCAGACATCTGAGGGACACTTCAGTGGCATATACAGTGTTTCTGCCGAAGTTAGCTACCGGGACATACACAGAGGCTGCTCTCATCTAGGTGCAATCAGTGGTAGCCAGTGTATGTGGGGTATATATCTGTGTGCCACTCCTGTTTTGCATGGAACTACTGGTGCACAGGATGATTCTGCCTACTGGGGCTTGTGTAGGTACTATCATGCCTAGCCATTGGCAGGCTCATGTCTGTGTGTGCTCAGGAGAGGGTCTGTCACACAGCTGTGGCTAGCAGCTGGTGCATTTGCTGCTCCCTATGTATCATACTCCCTGAGAGTTACTTGCTTTTTTGCTCCACTCTGCCACACTTTCCGCTTGTTGGGGTGGGGGTGGTATCAGCAACCTTCAGATAACAGTGATCCCTCTACACATATTAGTTTAACAGTTCATTTTGAAGGCATTTGCTATAATGCTGTGATAGTGTTTGCTACTCTCTGTAGATGGGATAAAGACTCTGTAGATTTAATTCCTTCTAGTGAGACAGGCTTAGTTATGGTCTCTACAATATGGCTTCACAATTTTCCCCAACAATTTGAGATATGTTCTTCACTTCTTGCTTACTAAATGGCTTTGAATCTCCTACCCCAGCTTAACTAGATGACTTTGTTCTCTTCCATTTTTACCAAAGTAATCCTGTCAACTTTACCTTTCCCTCTTTCTCCCTTTTTTACCCTTCCCCCTTGAAAAGCCATGCTCAGGGTTTAGAGTCAAAAAATTCTTTCCTGTTTTCTGTTCCAGGAACTAAGACTTCCAATTCTTTCACTTTCCAGTATTATGTCTTATTGCATTCCCTTTGTCATTCCACCTCTCTGATCAGCTGTTCTCTCACTGCTTCATCTCTGAACTATGGAGAAGCTGAATTTCTTGTCTAGCTTTCCCTTCCCTTCCTTTGTTTTTTCTTTTTTCTTTTTGGCCATCCTGGGAGATTAATTTTATTTTGACAGTCATTAAAAAATTTTTTTTGATTCTTTTTAGTTATACATGACAGAACAAGGTATTTGGACGTATCATACATACATGGAGTATGACTTCTCATTTTTGTGGTTATATATGATGTGGAGTTACACTGGTCATGTGTTCATATATGAACATAGAATACATCTTATTCATTCTGTTGTCTTTCCCATTCCTTCTCCCTCCCCCCGACTCTGTCCAATCTGGTGGAACCCCCCCCCCCCCCCCCCCCCCGCAATGTGAGTCAGCATCCGCCTTTGGTTTGAGAGACCACCTGGCCTTTGGTTTTTTGGGATTAGCTTATTTCACTTAGCATGATAGTCTCTAGTTCCAAGCATTTACCAGTAAATGCCATAATTTCATTGTTCTTTAAAGCTGAGTAATATTTCACTGTGTTTGTATACCACATTTTCTTTATTCATTCATCTCTTGAAGATCACCTATGTTGGTTTCATAGCTTAACTATTATGAATTGAGCTATTATAAACATTGATGTGGCCGAGTCACTGAAGTATGCTGATTTTAAGTCCTTTAGGTATAAATACTGAGGAGTGGGATAACTGGGTCAAATGGTGGTTTCATTTCAAGTTTTCTGAGGAAATCCATACTGCTTTCCATTATGGTTGCACCAATTTGCAGTCCCACCAGCAATGTATAAGTGCATCTTCTTCCCCCACATCCTTACCAACATTTATTGTTACCTGTTTTCTTGATAATTGCCATTCTGACTGAAGTAAGATGAAATCTCAGTGTAGTTTTAATTTGCATTTCTCTAATTGCTAGAGATGTTGAACATTTTTTCATATATTTATTGACTAGTCATATTTCTTCTTCTTTGAAGTTACATACAGTCTTGCTAAATTGCCCAGGCTGGCCTCAACTTAGGATACTCCTGCCTTAATCCCACACCCAGCTTGTTTACAAGTTTTAAAGGGCAGATTTATATTTTTCTGTACTAGGGTTATCAGGAAATGTTATATGTAAAAGAGAATTTCCTTGTTCCAAATGATAACTTACCTTTGTAGTAGAATTTTTCAGATCCAAAATGTGGAACATTTTAAAAATTAATCACTTGATTAATGATTAAAATAATCAATTTAATGAATACTGGTGTGGCTTATGAACAGAAGCAAGGTTCAAAAAGAGTCTCAAATGGGCATGGTTCTAAGGCAGGAGAATCCCAAGTTGACAGCCAATCTCAGTAACTTAGTGAGACCCTGTCTCAAAAAATAAACATTGACTTGGGAATGTAGCTCAATGATAGAGTGCCCCTGAATTCAGTTCCCATACCAAAAAATAGAAATAAAAGAGAGAATAATCTCTAAAGTATCCTTGTATTCTGATGCTTTTATTAGCACTGTGTTTTACCAACTTAAAATGTTCTCAAACTTGCTTATTAGCATTATACTTCTTCCTCTTGAAGAACTGTACCTATTGCACAAACAACTCAATGTTTGCAAAGAAGAAAGTATGTTAATCTTTGTTATCTCAAAAATAATATTTATCCCCACCCTTTCTGCTAGGTGCCAAAAACAGAAAGAAAGAAAAGAAGAAAAAAAGAAACCGATTTGGTAAGTTATAACCTGTTTTTCATATTACAAAACAACAAATTTTCAGGATAATAGCTTGAAACACATAATAGAGTATTTCTTTTTATATATATATTTTTTTTAAAAACTTTTTTTTTTTTTTAAAGTTTTTTAATATTTATTTTCTAGTTTTCGGTGGACACAACATCCTTGTTTGTATGTGGTGCTGAGGGTCGAACCTGGGCCGCACGCGTGCCAGGCGAGCGCGCTACCACTTGAGCCACATCCCCAGCCCTCTTTTTATATATTTAAGGAATAGGTTTACCAGGCATCTAGAAGTAATAATATATGTCTTTAGAAAAATTTCGAATGACTAATGTGCCATGCTTTCAGTGACTGGATTTGTTTTCAATGGTGGCTTACTAAAAGGCAGAAAACGGAAAATGTTTACTTATTTTAAAGGTAAAATTATGATCTCTTTTCCAACTAGATCTAGTTTGGCCTTTTTAAAAAAATATATTTTTATTAGTTGTTGATGGACCTTTATTTTATTTATTTATATGTGGTGCTGAGAATCGAACCCAGTACATCATACATGCTAGGCAAGGCGCTCTACCACTGAGCCACAACCACAGCCCCTAGTTTGGCTTTTATTGAACACCTCATGTAAATGGAATCTCATATGGTTTTTGTATGTGGCTTCTTAGCATAATGGTAACTCAACAGTTAAAATGTTCAGAAAATGCGAACTGTTTCCCAGGTGACTATACCATTTCAGAATCACACCTGCAAAATTCTGAAAGTTCCAGTCACTTCACATCTTCACCAACCCTTGTTATTGTCTATCCTTGGTGATGAAGTAGTATCTTACTATCCTTTTAATTTACATTTCTCTCATGAGTAATGGTGTTAAAACATGGTTCCATATATCTCTTGGAGGTGTGTACTTCTTTGCTGAAATGTTTGGTCAATATATTGTCTACTTTTTAATTGGGTTGTCTTAATATTTGCATATAACCTTTCTTTATATATTCTGGATGGATGTTCTTTATCAGATATATAACTTGCAAATATTTTTTCTGAGTATAGCTCATCATTATTTTTCTTTAATTTTAATTAATAACTCATATCAATTGTACAGATTAATGGGTTTCCCTGTGACATTTCCATACATGCAAATATTGTGATGTGTTTGAATTCACCTTTCCCAGTACCCTTTGTTGCCCTCTTCTTTCTTTGCACTTCAAGTCTCTCTTCTATTTTTAGGTCATCTCTTTTTCTCTCTTCAGTTTCCACACAAGAGAAAAGGTGTGATACTTGTCTTTCCTTGTCTGTTTTATTTTGCTTAACATGATTATCTCCATGATATCTTCATCCATTTTTCTATGTACATTTCATTCTTCCTTATGGCTAAATAATACTCTATTGTGTACATATGCTAAAACATGTGGAAATGTTTCCCATAGGTTGTCTTCTAGTGGTTCAAAGTTTCAAGTCTTACATTAAGGTCTTTATCCACTTTGAGCTGATTTTTATACAGGGTGAAAGGTAGCAGTCTAATTTCAACCTTCTACATGGGTATGTCTTGTTGTCCCATCACTGTTTGTTGAAGAGGCTGTCTTTCCTCCTGTGTGTTTTTAATGTCTTTGTCAAAAATCATTTGGCTATAGATTCGTGATTTTGAGTTCTCTATTCTGTTCCACTGTTCTTTGTGTTTGTTTTTATGCCAATACCATACTTTTTTTTAACCATGGCTTTGTAGTATATTTGGAAATTTTATTTATTTCTCTTGCCTAATTGCTCAAATGCTTTCATTTGATCATAGACTTTTTAGTAAATGAATGGATAAAGAAAATGTGGTGTATATATTCACAATGGAATATTACTCAGCAATAAAAGAGAATAAAATCATGGCATTTGCAGGTAAATGGATGGAGTTGGAGAATATGATGCTAAGTGAAGTTAGCCAATCCCTAAAAACCAAATGCCAAATGTTTCCTCTGATACATGGAGGCTGATTCATAGTGGAGTTGGGAGGGGGAGTATGGGGAAGATTAGACAAACTCTAGATAGGGCAAAGGGAGGGAGAAGAAGGGAAAGGGCAAGGGGGTAAAAAAGATGATGGAATGAGTTGGACATCATTGCCCTAAGTACATGTGTGAAGACACAAATGGTGTGAATATATACAACCAGAAAAAAAAAATTTTCTCCCCTGATTTCAATGACCTATTATTCTTCAAATGTGTATTGTTGAATATCCATGTGTTTATATAGTTTCTCCCTCTGTTGATTTATAGTTTTGTTTTAATATGATCTGAAAAGATGCAGGAAATTATTTGTTTCCATGTATTAGTCTTGCTTTATTGCCTGAAAGTATGATCAGTTTTGGAAAAAGTTTTATGAGCTGATAAAAAGAATGTGTATTCTGCAACTGTTGAAATATTCTGTATCTATTGAGTTTATTTGATCTCTAGTGTAATTTAATTCTTATTTTGATTGTTTTGTGTGTATGATTATCTATTTATTGGTGAGAATTAGGAATTAAGTCACCTACTTTTGTACTGAGGTCTATCTTTTCCTTTACGTTATGTCTAATAATGTTTGTGTTGTAAGATTAAGTGCTCCAACTTCTAGTCCATGTATTTTTACAATTGTTATACTTTCTATATAGATTGTTCCCTTTATCAATATATAGTGACTAGCTTTGTCTTTTCTGCCTGATTTTGGCTTGAAGTCTGCTTGTTGGAGATGAGTATAACTATTTCTGCTTAATTTCAGATTCTATTTCCTTACAAAATCGTTTTCCAACCTTTTACTTTCAGTCTGAATGTCTTTGCTGATGATGTCAGTTTTTTGCAGGCAGCAAATTGTTGGGTCTTGTTTTTTAATCTGCATCTTTCAGTTGGAGAATTAATACTATTTACATTCAGGATATTATTGAAAAGTATATGCTAGATCCTATCATTTTGTTGTTTTCTTCTGGTTATTTTGAATAATATATGTTGATTACCTTCTCCTTTGTTGTGGAGATTTGATGGTTGACTGAATTAACCATGTTTGATTTATTCCTAATTCTCACTTGCTTATCTGTTCTTCTAATGAGATTTATACTTTCTTAAGCTCTCATGACTGTACTTATCTTGCTGGGTATAAGAGTCTTTCAAGTATCCTCTGTACTAGTTTGGTGGTCATGCATTCCTTTAGTTTATGCTTTTCTTGTAAGGTTATTATTCTTTCTTTGATTTTTGAAGGATAACTTTGGAGGATCTAGTTACATAGGTTGAAGTTATTTTCTTTTTGAAATACATCATTCCATGCTCTACGACCCTTAGAGTTTCTGAGAAATCTGTTATTATAATGGGTTTGTCTTTGTGACTCAGTACTTTTTTGTGAAGCTTTAAGTATTCTTTTCTTGTTCTGTACTTTGGGTAGTTCAACTGTAAGAAACCCTGTAGATTTCTTTTTTGGTCATGCCTATTTGGAGTTTTCCTGTATTTGAATGGTATCTTCAATAATAATACTTAAATAATAGTATTCTGCTATTATTTCACTGACTGGCTTTTTTATACCTTTAACCTGTAGCTCAAATTCCTTATCTATTTCTATTATGTGTGTGTTTCATCCTTTAATGATTCCCCATAGATCTGTATGTTCTGTTCTTATAACTGTCTTAATTCCACTTTAAAATCTTCATTCCGCTTTAAAATCTTAGGAAGAATCAATTACTGAGTGGAGCCATATTGCCTCAATTTTTTTCATATTTCTTTTGTTTCCCTGGTGTGATTTATGCAGCTTTTGGGTTAGAAATATCTTCCACTTTTTTGTGAGGTTCTTTTTAGGAAGCAGCTTTTTTTTTTTTTAAATGACTTTCCCTGGGAAATAATTTGTTGTATAACACTGAATTTAATTCCAAATGGACTTCTTAGTTTCGTTCCCCTGTGGCTTTTTTGGCTGTGATTTTTTTTTTTACAAAAATATATTTCAGATTTTTTTTTTTTTTTAAAAATGCTATTTCAGACCCTGAATGACCCACTCTTTCTGAGATCTCATAAGAATGAGGATCCTATGGAAGATATGTTGTAGATAGCAGAGAATATGAAGTACACTCTCTGTGATTACTACTTTATTCTTGTCAGCAGCGTGCAGCCTTAAAGAGTATATGAGTGAGGTGTGCTGAGGTACCTCACAGGTGTAGTATCCACAACAATCATCCTATTTCTCTCTGTTGTTGCTCTGGGAGTGAATGACCAGGAGTGAGACTTTAGAGCTACTCCCCAGCTATGCCTGCTCATGACTAGGTGATTGGCTGGGGCCTTTTATGTCCTCCAGTATTTACATTGAGGTGCCAACTAAGGTTTGAGTGGGACTAGAATACAATTTCTCTCACTTGGGCTTGGGGGTACAACTTAGCAGCAAAGCACCAATACCATGCTTGAAGCATTGGGCTCAATCCCCAGCAATACTCAGAAAGAAACAAGCAGCAGTGACAACCACAACACCAATGTAAATAGAAAAGGAAGGGACAAAAATAATATGGGATAAACTAAAGAGTTAAGAAAAAGTTAAAAGTTTTTGCAAATTACCATTAAATAAAAATAAAAAGGGAGAAAAGATGAAGAAGAAAAATATCCAATTAAAGAATTTTTAAATGGAGAAAGGAAGAAAATATTTAAAGGGGGAGAAAGGGGAGGATAGGAATGGGAAAGACAGTGGAATGAATTGGATATAACTATCCCATGTTCATATATGAATACACCGTCACTGTTAACTCCACATCATGTAGAACCACAGAATGAGAAATTATATTCCATGTATGTATGATATGTCAAAATATATTTTACTGTCATGTGTAACTAAAAATACCAAAAAAAAAAAAACGGGGTAAGAAAAAGAAGAAAATTCAAACCAAATAGGTATAATCAAAAGAGTCTTAATAAAAAATAATAATTTTCTGTAACCAAAGTGGTTAATTATAAGAGTGGATGTTCATAGCTGGGGCTAAACAGATCTTTCTGTGATCTTATATGTTATGTGTCTCTTGGAGACAGCATTGGCTTTGGTTTATTCATCTTTTTTTTTTTTTTTTTTCTCTTGTGTTGCTTGCCAGGCAACCAGCAGAAGGGTTTTGTAATTGGAGCCAATAGTAATACTTATCACCTGCCCTGCTGGCCATTATGGGCTAGGGCAGAACCCAGAGCTTTTCCTGGCAGAGATTTATTACAATATTATTTGCTTTCTGCATTCATAGGACAGAGATGATATGGTAGCTTCAGTGCATCAATGTCTCCAGCACTTTTTAAAAAAAAAAGTCAGGGCAGGGAAATGCTGTGAGACTATAACTAGGGCTACAGTGACAGTTACCACATACACTCAACAACTCTGGTATTCCAATACCTAGCAGCCATTGTGGAATCACATGGTGGCTAATTCCCCCAACTCCCATAGTTGACTTTCTAAGTTGCTGGTCCTAAAGGGAAAGTAACTTTGGTACTCTTAGATATTAGAGTGGTTTTCTGCCACACAGGATTCTCAACAGTTTAGTTAGAGAGACTATCACCTGGAGCCAAAGTAGCTCTCAAATCAGATGTTCACGGGTTCAGTCTATAAGTATTTGCTTTGGGTTCCCAGGGTCAAATAAATGCAGGGACCTTTGACATCCAGAGCAGCAAGCTCAGACAAGACCCTCTCAGAATGACTCCCTGCTACAGCACCACAAGTATATGCTGGGAGGTAGGCGGAATGGGCCAGAATGGTAGGTGGATCCTCAGGTCCACTGTCTTTTCTCAGACTGTCCTTCTGCACTGTGCTGAGTCCTATGCTACCTATGTTCTCTGAGTCTCTCCTCCTTTCTTTCACCTCTACCCTCATTCTCTACTGTACTGCCACATATTTAGCACTGAGCACTCTGTCTTACCCTCTCTTCACTATCCAAAGTCTCTGTCTTCTCCATTGAACTTCAGTATTTTCCCACATTTACACACCTTGGTGGTTAGCTGCTCTCTGTTTGTTTTGATTTATATCTTAAGAAGAAGGCAATAAGTGCTGGTTGCCTTTAATCTGCTATCTTGAGTCCCCCCACCCACTTTTTTTTCCTTAAAGTTTTAATTTTTTTTCCCTTAAGTTTTAATTTTCTTTGGCAGGAGGTATTAGGTATTGAACTCATTGAGTTGCTTAGCGCCTCATTTATGCTGAGGCTGGCTTTGAATTTTTGATCCTCCTGCCTCAGCCTCTCAAGCTTCTGGGATTATAGGCATGCACCACTATGCCTTGCAAGTTTTAAATCAATGAAACCCAGAGCATTAGATCTTACAGAACATTAGAGTTCATTTGTATATTTTTTATTTTATATTTTAAGTAGCCCTTAATAACCATTTGTCAAGTTTTAATATAGAATCATTGTCTGAAGAGATTATTAAAATATTTTCACATTGTCCAGTTTCATATCTGTTTTCTTCCTATATTTCAAGGTAAACTGCATGCTGCAAAAGTTTGAGGCAGAAGTGGATATAAGAATCTAGGTATCTTTCATTGAACCAGAAATCAAAGAGATCAACAAAAATATACAACAATACTTTTGTCACTTTTTGCTTTAAAGATATAATTATCTTTAATTAAAATATTATTTATGTTAATGTGCAATGTTTGTTAAATGTAATTGAAGTAATACATTTCACTTTTTAGTTTTAATTTCTAGGATATTTATTAAAATATTTTGGGATTATAAAAGCAGATAAATTTGTGAACTACTGCTTTTGATTTAACATTCTGACTCACATAAGTCACATAAGACAGCTGTTATGTTTGTTCATTGCTGTTTTTCCTTCCCTGTGGTACTGGGGATTCAATTCCAGGAACACACTCTACCACTGAGCTACATCCCCAATCCTTTTTTAAAAAATTATTTCCATTTTGAAAGAGTCTTACTACGTTGCCCTGTCCGGCTTTGAACTTTCCATTCTCCTGCCTTAGCCTCCCAAGAGGCTGGGGTTACAGGCATTTGTCACTGTTCATGAATATTTTTCATATATGTTGGTCATGTTTATCTAGGCTGGTAGCATTTAGAAAACAAGGGCCATATGTTTTGTTTCTAAAGTATCATAATTCTCCCCCTGGAATAAGTGTCCAGTGAAAGGTTAGTAAGGGATTGATGTATTTCCCATTTACCTACAATGTTAGGGCAGCATTTAATGTGTTGGCTTTCATATAAATAGCTTAATTTTTCATTCAGGTGGAAGAGCACAATGGTCACATTTTTAAGGCCACCCAATATAGCATCCCTACATACTGTGAATACTGTTCTTCTTTAATTTGGATAATGGACCGAGCCTCTGTTTGCAAATGTAAGTATGAAAGATCTTTGAGGAATGCTACCCTAGCCCCTAATTATCCTTTTAATCAGTTTTAGTAGTCTTTGTTATACTTTCACAATCTGAAATTACATTAAAATATTTATGTGTTTTCTTATTTGTCAGTCTCTTACACTTAGGGTCAAGAATCTTATTTATCAGTTCCATAACAGTTCAAACACATAGTTACAGTAAATATTTATCGGGTAGATGGACCTATAGATGAATGAATGAATTCTTAGTTTATAGCCAAAAAGGTACATTTTATACTACACTCCCCTTCAACAGACTATGTGAATTCTATAATGTGAATAGAGACTTTTCATATGTCAGTTGGGTTCTGACTAATAGTGGATCTTTTGCTTCTACTCCTCTTATTTTAGATATATACTTTGGTGCTATCGGTAATTCTGTGAGGCTTTGCTTTTGCTAGATGGCCTGAGATAAATAAAGGGAATATTAGAAAAGAGTCCAGTATGACAGAATAAAAGTTATGTTTGCCAGAGCAAAATCACCACTATTCCTGGATTAGCTCACTGGTTGTATAGTTTATCACCAGTCTTCTTTTTTTTTTAAATTGAATGCTTCATGAATTTGCACATTTTCCTTGCACTGGGGCCATGTAATAATCTCATTCCAATTTTAGTATATGTGTTACTGAAGCAAGTGCTTTTTTCATTTTATTATGACTAATCTAAGAAATTATGAGAATGAAAATAGGAGTAGTTTGAAATGTGACTGTTAGTCCAGTTATTGAAGGTTCGGAGTAATTTCTACTATGACATAAAGCTGAAAGTTTGCTTTTTTATAACTAAGGTGGGCTTGGTTTGAGTTTTTCATGGAATTTTAACTTTCTATGTGATTATCCTGGTGATTTCACCAGTGCAGTGAATGTCCCCTCACCTTCCCCCGATCTTGATCTTGGCTTTGAAAACCCTAAAAGTTACACTTTGAAAGCTTAAAAGGGGGGATATTAAGGTGTTGGTATGCTGGAACTGGAGCTGGTGTTTTATTATCTTCGCATTTACAACTAATATACTTTATATTCTGGTTTTCATTTCCTTACGGATTTTTGACAGTAATGCCATCCTTACCATAATAATAATTCTTAATATGTAATTCTGGTGTTTTAGCAAGTTGTAAAGCACCTGGCGTAACATGAACACTAATTTATGAATCAAACCACAAAGTTAGATAAATATCCTGTTGGAATTTGGGAGAGTTAAGTACAGGAGCAGGACAGGCAATCTTGAAAGAATGAAAAAGCTGTCTCATTGATGGTGGTGAGAAATGTTAGGCATGTTTTCCAACTGCATTTAAAATTCTTTAACACAGAACAGAGTTTATATATGCTCTTATAACAGCCTCAGATCTAAATAATAAACCTTATTGTCAAAGTAAAATTATAAACTTGATAAGTTTATTAACAGACTTATGAAAATGCTACATTCTTAACCTTTTTTTCAGTATGCAAGTATGCTTGCCATAAGAAGTGCTGTCTGAAAACCACAGCCAAGTGTTCTAAAAAGGTAAGAATTTATCACCTGTCCATAATAAACAACAGATCTGTAGGTCTTTTGTGACTCATGGAAAGAAATCAAGGCCTCTTTGATGTTTATTATTTAGAGTTCCTAAACTTCTGACCACACATACAATAAGAAATTAAATTTATGTCATGATCCAACATATACACAGGGAGATGAGTATATATAACTGAATTTATTTTTCTGAAATTTTATTACCTTTACTACATATGTGCTAACAAATTGATTTCACAAACCGCAATTTTAAAAACACTGCTTTTAGAGATTTACCTCTTTAAACCCTCAATCTTTCTAGGAAGGTGAAAAGCTGCAATTAAAAATGAATGAATTTAGGGTCTCGGAACTTAGCCCAGTGCTGGAGCACTTGCCTAGCATGCATGAGACTCTAGGTTCAGTCCCCAGTACTGTAAGAAAAAAAATTTAACCATGAAGAGCAGAATGCACCAGCATAGTTAGAAGGCTAAAAGATACTGACCAATTTACTCTTTGATACTTTATGCTTCCAGGAAGCAACTTTTTTTTTTTTTTAAATTCTAGATGTATATTGATGTATAATATCACTTCCTTATTTATTAATTACATACTGACAATTGTTGAAATACTATGTAAATATGAACAATATAAATGAACATGCATTTTGTTTATAGCCTATGTATAGAATTTGCATATGTTCCAAATCAGTAGACAAATAATGGCAAAGTATAGAGTCAAATTTTATTTAGGACTTAAAATATAGTGAAGGGGAGATATTTTGCTTCAAGCTAATATAGATTAGCTTGTGGCAGACCAATACTAAAAGTCTGTTGGCAAGAGTCAAAACAGCTATCCAGGTAAAATAGACTTGAAGAGATTAGAGATCCTAGAAAGAACAGAATGCAGAGTAGTAAACCTGTATTTTGTGAAGCTTTTATCATATGGAAATATTTCACTTTTTGTTGTAGACCATGAAGCCAGTATTTTGGATAGTGGGCCACATTTAAGAATCAGAGAAGCCAGCAGAGACTTTAGCAATCATAGGACCAAAGAGACAAATTTTTGGAGTTTAACTCTGCCAAGACTTGAGGGATCATGATTCATTCACATAGAGAAGTAAGCCTGAAACACAGATTTTTTTTCCCTCTCAAGGCATTTTTTTGATTCCTTTATCTGTGCATGGCAAACAGCTAAGAAACTAATCAGAAAAGGATATTGGCATTTTCCATCAGTTATGCACTGCTAAAGAAAGGGAAATTCGAATTGTAGTATCCACCATCAAAGGGAAAGGAGCCTAGTCTATACCTCAGACTCTCACTGAGACCTCTGAAAAACTATTTCCTGTGAGTGGGAGTGAACTACTGACAGACCCGCCTTAACAACAACAACAAAAACAAACAAAAAACCCCCAGCAAACTAGCTTTGAAGCAGTTGTTGCTTGGATTATGTATTCTTATTTCATTGACCCACCAGAGAGAAGAGGGTAAAACCATTTAAGAGATTACCTCATCCAGAGTCTTCTGTAATATCAGACATAAAGAAATGGTACTAATTAGTAAACAAATAGGCAATAACTAGGATTCAGATAACTAGTTACTAGATGTATACTTTAAAATTTTTAATATATATGCTCAAATAATAGATAAAAGCATGGAGAAATTTTTAAAAAATAGTTGAGTATATGTTTTGAAGGAATCAATAGGGAATTGTAGAAATAAAAGATGAGTTTAACAGCCATAGCAGAAAAGAAGATTGGTGAGCTAAAAGATAGACCAGTGTAACTATCTAGGCATAGAGAGTAAAAAGAATGTAAAAATATAAATATAAATATATGAAACATAGGGAAGGGATGGAAGATGCTTTTTTAAAAAATCTTTTTTATAGTTGTAGATGGACAGCATGCCTTTATTTATTTTTTTTTATGTGGTGCTGAGGATCAAACCCAGTGCCTCAAACATGCTAGGCAAGTGCTCTACCATGAGCTACAGCCCAAGCCCGAAGGTTCTTAATTATATGTAATTGGGAGTCAGCAAGAAAGGAGAAAGAACAGGGCAGAAGCAACATTTTAAGAGAGAATGGTCAACACATCAAGTCACAAGTACTTTTAACCTGGACAAATACAAAGAAAACCACACCTAGACGTACAGTGCTACAAACCAAAGATATTTTTTTTCCCTTTTGTTTTTGAAATGAAGTCTTGCTGCATTGCTTAAGGCTGACATTGAACTCCAGCCCTGCCTCAGCCTTCCAGGTTGCTGAGATTATAGAAATGTACCACCACACCTGGCAAAATTTCTTAAAAGCAATTAGAGGGGAAAGAATAAATACTACCTAGAGGAGCAAAGAAAATCCTGCTCCAGTTAGTTGACTTCTAAACAGAAATGTTGGAAACCAAAAGATGGTGGCTTGACATCTTTTAAGAAAAGAAAGTCAACTGCTGGGCATGATGGTGCATGCCTATAATTTCAGCGGCTTGGGAGGCTGAGACAAGAGGATTGAGAGTTCAGATCCAGCCTCAGCAACTTAGTGAGGCACTAAGCAACTCAGCAAGACCATGTCTAAATAAACTATTAAAAAAGGACTGGGGGCACTGGGGTTGTGGCTTAGTGGTAGAGCATTTGCCTCAGATGTGTGAGGCACTGGGTTCGATTTTCAGCACTGTATATAAATAAATGAAAAAAAAAAATCCAAGGTCCATAAGTCATCTAGGAAGTGGTAAAAATACTAAAAATATTAGACTTAAATATGTATGGATATGTTTTGTTGAAATCTCCAAATTAATGACTAAAAATGTATATATAACTGAAAAATTAATAAAGACAATAAAGTAGAAGAACGAAATACTTGATTAAAGTAAATGAAGGCAAGAAATGAGAGAAAATAGATAAAATAGGGTGGACAAAAATAGATATAGTAAGTCCAAATATATTGGTGCCTTATATTAAATATGCTAAATACTCCAAACAAAAAGCTAAGTTAAAACCAACTGAAAAATCTTTTATGAAAGAGATGTACTTATTAAGTATAAAGATAGAAAGTTTAAAAGCAAAAGAATGGAACTATATACAGCATGCAAAGACTAATCAATAGAAAGGTAGTATAGCTCTACTAATATTAAATTGTACTTTTTAAGGCAAACAGTATTACTTCATGTGCTTTATGATGATGATGTTAGGGTCAGCCCATTGGGGAGATATAAAATTCTAATCCTCTAATATAGTTTCAATACCTAGTAGAAAAAAATAAGGATGAAAATAATATGAAAAACTTGATGTAATTGGCATATATTGAACCAGCTTCCTATGTTAATAAATCACCATTGTGAGATGTTCCAAAGCTAAAAGAAACATAAATGTCCAGTTCTGAATTTCTAATTGAATAAATAAATTGTGGTATTTCTGTATAATGGAATACTTCATAGCAATGAGATTAAACAGTTGGTACTCATAAATATAGGTTAAATGAGAGAATCCACAAATACTGTTATTGTGTTTAAATAAAGTTCAAAAATAGATAGACCTCATGGTGTACATATACAATTTGATTTCTATAATGTTCAAAGGCAAGCAAAACTAATTTATACTGATAGAAAAAGAGTTTTATTTGTGAAGGATAAAGGTCATAGTAACTGAGAGGGATTTAGAGACTTTTATAGTATTGGTAATACTCCATTTCTTGTTTTGGATTCTGTTTTAAGCGTGCATTTACTTTCTGAAAATCTGTTAAGCTAGTTAGATCTTGTCTCAAAACAAAATATAAGAAAAAAAGGGCTGTGGGTATAGCTCAGTGTTAGAATGCCCCTGGGTTTAATCCCCAGTACCCCAAACACAAACAAAATCCCATTATTAGTTTCAAATTGAAAAATTTTTAGTTTGATAGTCTCAAAATTTTTATTTATTTATTTTGCTTTCACAAGCCTTAACATTTCTAATGCCATAAGGAGAGCCATAACATTTAAATAAATAGATTATATGTGTTTGTCAGAGTAATAGTAAAAATTTTGGCTTATGTTTATTTTAATCATTATAGCAAGCATTATTATATTTTAAAAATTAATTTATTGAGTATTTACCATGTACCAGATACTGTACTGTGTTCACCTTAATCTTCTACACCTTTGAGGTAGAAAGGTGGTATTACTGTTGGAAATGTGAAATAACCTAGCCAAGTTCATATAGTGACGATGCAAAAATATAAACCTGCATCCTTTAAACATTTGAAGTGTACTTTTTCTTTTGCCTAAAACCTACCAGTACTTTTCAGAGATGGTGCCTGATATTAACTTAAGATAACTTAATATGCTTCAATAAATATTAAATTAATTCTCAAATGCTGAAACACAGAGTACGAAGATGCAAAATAATACAAAACTGAGTGTTGTCTTCTACTAATTTCCTTACCTGTCAGAATAAGACCCAGATTCCATAACTTAGTATTCAAAACCCCTTATAATCTCATTGTTAGTTGAGTCATATTTTTCTTTGCTCAGCTTTGTATTTTTGTTTCCTGAGCCTAAAAGGTTCTTTTTTTGCCTTCTTATGTACTACATGCTTTCCAACAATTATTTTAAGTAGAAAGTCTTTGAGACCTTTAGTTGTTACCCAGCCCAGTCTTTTTCCTGATCTGTCTCTCTTCTGTGTTTCCATAATAACCTAATAAATCTGTTTATTGTTTTACATTTCTCCACAAGCTAATACTATGGTCTTAGCATCAGTCTTAGGGAAAGGACTGTCCCTTGATTTTGCTCCCCTGCTATCTAGCACATAAAAATGAATGAATGTACCTATGGAAAGAAAAATTAGGATCAATTTAAATAAGGTGTTGAATGTCAGTCTCAGAAATGTTTGTTGTTTATTTTGATATATACTAATTAGCCACTGAAAGTTTCTGAGGTTAAATAAAGTGGATTATGTATAGTATATAATATTTAAACAAGAAAAAAATGAGTGTGGGAAAATTGGTCTTGAAGCTGTTGGAATACAACAAGTGGGTAGTGATAGAAGTTGAATTAGGATAATGACAGTAAGTGCAGAAAAGAAAAATTAGCATGTACTGAGTAACCAAAAGAACTTGGCAACTGTTTGGGTGCAGGTTGAAGGAGAAAGTGGGGTGTACAGATTTCAGTTAGAGGAGGAGAATGGTAGAAGAAAAGAAAAGATTTATAAGAAGGGTTTCAGTCTCAGGAATAATGCCTGGCATTTTTCTTTTCTGTGAATTGCTTCAGATAATGGTTAGAATAAGCAGTTTTGTTGCAGTCACATAAGCTATAGTTAATAAGTTATGGTAGTGTACACACTATTAAAGTCAATAAAGGTGCTATAATACTATTCAGAGATCAGTCTGTGTGAGTCTTTGTCTTTGGGTATGAAATCAGTTCTTTGAAATATTAAAGCAGTATTATGCTCTGGAAATTACAACTCTAATTCCTATAAAATCTGGATTTTTTCCATGGTACCTGGTAAATGTTCAAGCTTTTTGTGTACAAAATCCAACCTCCTTCACCAACACACAAACCTTACCTTTGTATGAAGATTTTTTGATAGGAAGGGAAGTAGTAGCCCTTCACTGCCCTCTGTCTTCCACTCTCTTTTGGGGAATCCTAGTGTGAGGATTGAAACTAATATTTATTTAACCATAATGCCCTCCCTCACAACTATTATAACAGTCTTCATAAAACTTTAGGATAATAAAAAGTAGTTCCTCTTAAAGAATGAAGATGTTTGAATATATTTGAAATCAAAAAATTGTCTTCCATTTAGTATGATCCAGAACTGTCATCTCGACAATTTGGGGTTGAACTGTCCCGTTTGACCAGTGAAGACCGAACTGTTCCTTTAGTGGTGGAAAAGCTCATAAACTACATTGAAATGCATGGACTTTATACAGAAGGTATTTACCGAAAATCTGGTTCAACTAATAAAATCAAGGAGCTTCGACAAGGTCTGGATACAGGTAAGATGATCTCTCCAAATCAAGACTTATTTAAATAAAAATATTTAATCATTTCAAGCTTTTAAAGTTTTCTTTATGTATTGATCCTTTGCTTACAGCCAGAAGAATGCAGTCTTTTCTGTGGTACTTGTTTGTCATTTTGTGTCTTTCTAAAGAATCTTTGGCTTTACGTAGTTAATTCAGCAAACATATATTGAGTGTATCATTTGTACAAGGCATCCTTAGGTACTAGAAAAAGATTTAATACCTTTTTAATATTTAGTGCTTTTCCAGTGCATCTTTCTGCCTTCCTACATTGATGATGTGGTTACTTAAACTGACAGTGATTTGGGCACTGTATAGAGCTGTGGCCTCAGTCCAGGAATATGTGCAGGGGGTTGACTTTGGTTTCATTCTCAACTTCTACTCTCACTATTAGAAAGGTATGGTTCTAGAGAGAGGGGGAGGGGGAGCAGAAAATCCCTTAAGCTCACCCACTTTTAAAAGTCAGACAAAATTCAAATTTCAACAGTAACAGGGGGGTCCTTAAAACAGAGCAAGCAGCTTAAAATCTTAAAAACTAAGCTGGGGTCCACAACCATTTTGGGGAGCCTTCTGCTGACCTGTAATCACCTCATATCAATGTGGAATCTTCCCATGTCCAGATAGCTACAAATTAAACCAGAGGTAAGTCTCCTTTGTGGGACTTCCTAAGAATCCAACCAGAAAGAACTTCTAGAATGAGCACACCACTGGCCAAAAATCATTGAAACTGCCTCTTGCTCACCCTCACTGTGAAAAAGAGGAAAGGGCTGGTGAGGACCTGTGCCACAAACTGCACCTAACCTTGCTCAGCCTGACCCTGGCAAGGGTGGAAAATTTTGCATGGTATTCACTAACTGGGCTCAGACAGCAATGAAGCAGCTTTGGCCCCAAACAGGAAAGCAGATTCCCAGGCCCCAACCACTGACACTGGGGAGAGACATCATGGGAAGCCTAAGGATTTCAGGGCTATACCAGAAGGAAGTATAGTTCCTTTGGAAGGGACTGCACCCAGCCTTAACAGGTGCATAGTCTGACCTATGATCATAATGGGCAATTGAAAGGGCATTGTTTGGATACTTGTGGGGCCTTGCATCAGACTTAGTAAACAGAGGGAATCAGTGCGTGCCATTCACAACCCCGGGTACTGGAAACTAGGACCCAAGTGAACCACCTGAAACCCTTCACTACAGTACCTCAGAGAGCAGCATCAGCTTTGGGAATATTTCTGAACCACAGAACACCCAGGGAAAACCCACACCCAGAATTCCAGCCACCAGGATCTAACTACCATGAAAAGGATCCTGTAGAGGAAAGCAGGTACACAGTAACCCACAGCAATCAGGGACACTCCAGAGCTTGCATCCTAAACTATAGCACACAATAGATACAGCCAACCCATAATACTACACCTGCTGAGCTGACAAATCAGATGCTGCTGATGAAAGGTTCATAGCAACTAGGGAGTTGGCTTCTGTGCTCCTGTAGCTCTGGAGAGTTCCACAGCCAAAAACTGATGGACATTTGCTAAATGTCCAAACCCCAGTGAAATCCAAACCAATATTCACTAGGAGTTTTCTTTGCCTTGACATGGTTTACTACAAACAATGTCGACTTTGATTATAGTAACTCTTTAACTTGAATAATAGTTGTTAACCCAGTAGACAACATTGTACCCTCAACCCAATTTAATGTATTTCATCTACTAATTAGAACATTAATTGGAATAAATCTTTTGTCTTCTTTTCTCTCTCTCTCTTTTTCCCCTCTCCTTTTTTGCCCAATCTTTCTTCCTCCCCCACTGTAGACCTCACTTTAGATTATAGTAATTTTACTAAATTTAACAACAAATATTTTGACCTATTCCATAATTGTATTATAGGTTTATACCTAAATTTCAGAAACTGTGGAGAACAATTGTAACAAGTTTTTGTTTCTTATATAATCGAATAGAATAAGGCTTGGCTGTGAAGTGATTATAATACAAATAGGGCTCAGTGTAGTATCTTTTAAATTGGTGTTATTGGGATCAGCAGAGGTCACACACTGACTTAAAATATCATTATATGATGTTTACTCAATCCAGGGCTCTTAAGAGAAAGAAGCTCACAAAGTAATCCTTCACTTACTATTCCAATAGATAAGTAGACATACAAACAATATGAAAAAGCACTGGAAAAAACCATCCCATACAACCCTTAATGCTTCAACAACAGATTTAATTGATACCCAGTAGAGAAAATGTCAGAGAAGAAATTTTAGAAAGTATGTAGTTAAAATGTTCTATGATTTTAAAATAAGCTTTAAGGAGTGGAATTAGAAAATACAGAAAGTAAAAGATCACTTCAATAAAGAGAGATTCTGAAAAGGTACCAATCCAAAATTCTGGAAATGAAAAGATAAATAAACCAAATAAATAATTCAGTGGAAAGCATCACCAATGAATTAGGCCAGTTTGAAGATAGAATTTTAGGCCTCAAAGCTAAAGAATATACCCTTGAAAATAAAGTCGATCATTAAGAAAAGATATTAAAGAGATAATGAACAGAGTATTTAAGAAATCTGGGATAATATTAAAAGGCCAAATTTAAGGTTCATTTTGATGAAGGCTCTGAATTACAAGCTAAAAGAAAACAGTCTTTTCAGTGAACTAATATCAAAAGATTTGCCAATCCTTAAAAATGGAATGGAAATTCAAATACAAGAGGTATGCAGGACTCCAGATATACAAAATTGCAATAGATCCAGTCCAAGACATATTATAATGAAAATGCCTAATGTACAGAACTTTAAAAGCTGCAAAAGCAAAATGACTGGTCACATTTAGAGGTAAACCAAATCCAGATTTCAACTGATTTCTCAACCGAGACTCTAAAAGCCAGGAGGGCTTGGAATAATACATACCAAGCTCTGGAAGAAAAAAAAATGCCAACCAAGAATACTACCCAACAAAATTAAGCTTCAGAATTGAAGATAAAATTAAAAATTCCATTATAACAACAGAAGCTAAGAGAATTCCTAATTAGAAAGCCTATACTACAAAATATCATCAATAAAATATTTCACAAAGAATAAATGAAAACCAGCATAGGGAAGAATTAAAGGAGAATCAAGTCCAGTTTGAAAATTATAAATTAAATGGCAGTAAATGAAAATTATCTCTCAATAATAATATGAAATGTAAATGTTCTAAACTCTTAATCAAAAACACAGGTTGGCAGATTTGATTTAAACAACAACAACAACAAAAAAAAAACCCAACAATATGCAATCTTCAAGAAACTTGCCTTACAGGCAAAGATATACAGAGTCTAAAGGTGAAAGGATGGGAAAAAACATAAAATTCACATGGGACTTATAAAGAAGCAGAGATAGCTATTCTCAGATAAAGTGGACTTCAAGCCAAGATTAATTAGAAGAGAAAAAGAAGGTTACTTCATACTGCTTAAGGGAATTGTACATGAACAAGATGTAATTTTCATAAATATTTATGCTCCAAACAACATAGCATCTGTGTACATAAGTTGAACCCTTCTCAATATTAAGAATGAACTAGACTACAATACAATAATACTGGGTGATGTGTGCATCTCTTACCACTAGGTAGATATCCAAACAAAAACTAAATAATGATGTTAACAAACTAAAAACATACAATTTGGATTTACTAGAACAGGCAAGCATAGACTATTTTATCCATCTTCTTCTCAGCAGCACATGAACATTTTCTAACACAGACCATATTTTAGGCCACAAGGCAAATATTAGCAAATACAAAAAAAAAAAAAAAACTTATATTCTATTCATAATGAAATTAAATTAGAACTCAATGATAAGATAAAAACAGAAACCACTCTAACACTGGTAGACTAAATAATACACCTTCAAATATGAATAGATAGGGAGAAATAAAAAAATATTTAGAGATAAATTAAAATAGCGACTCAGAAAAATGAGAAATTATATCCCATCTGATTCAAATGTATAATATGCCAAGATCATTGTACCGTCATGTTTAACTAATTAAAACAAATTAAAAAATGAAAAAAAATAAAATAATGATTCTAAGAGAAAAGTTCATAGCATGGAGCCTCATACATTAAAAGAATAGAAAGATAGCAAATAAATAACCTAACATTAAATCTAAAGACCCTAGAAAAAGAATAAACCAACACCAAAATCAGCAGAAGACAGGAAATAAATAAAATCAGAGCCCAAATCAATGAAATTGAGATCAACAAAACAAAGAGTTGAGTTTTGAACAAAATTGATAAACCCTTAGCCAAACTAAGCAAAAGAAAGAAGGGGGGGGGACCTCAAATTATCAAAATCTGAGATGAAAAATGAATACCGTGCAAATCCAGAGGATCTTTAGAAACTATTTTGAAAATTTATTTTCTAGTAAGCTAGAAAAATTTTTAAAATATTGACAGATTCCTTAGAGACATGACTTACCCAAATTGAACCATAAAGATATATTAAACTTAGACCAGTATCAAGCAGTGAAATTGAAGAAGCTATCAATATTGTTCCAGCAAAGACAAGCCAAAGATCAGGTGGATTCTCAGTCAAGCTCTATCAAATCTTTAAAGAAGAACTAATACCAATTCTTCTCAAAGTATTCCATGAAATATTAAAGGGAGAACACTGCCAAACTCACTCCAGGAAGCCAGTATTACCCAAATACTAAAACCAGACAAAGACATATCAAGGAAAGAAAACTTCAGACCAACATCCTTGATGAACATAGTTGCAAAAATTTTTAATAAAATACTGGCAAATTGCACACAAAAATACATTTAAAAGATAGTATACCATAATGAAGTGAGTTTCATCCCAGGGGTATAAGGTTGGTTCAACATGTGGAAATCCATAAATGTAATTCATCACATATATAGACTTGAAGATAAGAATCACATGATTATCTTGATAGATGCAGGGAAAAGTATTTGACAAAGTCCAGCACCCATTCATGTTTAAATCACTGGAAAAACTAGGGATAGAATGAACTTACCTTAACATTGTAAAGGCTATATATGGCAAACCCAAGGCCAACATTATTCTGAATGGAGAAAAACTGAAAGCATTTCCTATAAAAACACAAACAATATAAGAATGCCTACTTTCACCACTACAGTTTATCATAGAGAGTTCTTGAAACTCTAGCCAGAGCAATCACACAAGAGAAGGAAATTAAAGGGATATGAATAGGAAAAGAAAAGCTCTGATTATCTCTGTTTGCTGAGACCATGAAGACCCTAAAACCTCCACCAGATGACCTCTAAAGCTCATTAATAATTCAACAAGGTAGTAGGATACAAGATCAATACTGATAAATCAATCACATTCCTATAATCCAATGATGAATCTGCATGAAAAAGAAATTAGGAAAACTGTCCCATTCACATAGCCTGAAAAAATATGGAATTCTTGGGAATCCATTTAACAAAAGAGGTGAAGGATCTCTACAAAAAAAAAAAAAAAAAAAAACTATAAAACACTAAGAAAAGAAATTGGAGAAGACCTTAGAAAATGAAAAGTTTTTCCGTGTTCTTGGATACGCTGTGGAAAGCAGTACGGAGATTCCTCAAAAAAATAGGAATGGAACCACCATTTGACCCAACTATCCCACTCTTTGTTATATATCCAAAAGAATTAAAATCAGTTTCATTTTGTTGCATATGGATTTCCAGTTTTCCCAACACCATTTGTTGAAGATGCTATCCTTCCTCCATTGCATGCTTTTAGCTCCTTTATCAAATATAAGATAGTTGTAGCTTTGTGGATTAGTCTCTGTGTCCTCTATTCTGTACCATTGGTCCACCCACCTGTTTTGGTACCAGTACCATGCTGTTTTTGTTACTATTGCTCTGTAATATAGTTTTAAATCTGGTATCGCTATACCGCCTGATTCACACTTCCTGCTTAGAATTGCTTTTGCTATTCTGGGTCTTTTATTTTTCCATATGAATTTCATGATTGCTTTATCTATTTCTACAAGAAATGCCGTTGGGATTTTGATTGGCATTGCATTAAACCTATAGAGAACTTTTGGTAATATCGCCATTTTGATGATGTTAGTTCTGCCTATCCATGAACAGGGTATATTTTTCCATCTTCTAAGATCTTCTTCTACTTCTCTTTAACTCAAAGTGGATCAAGGAGCTAGATATCAAATCAGAGACTCTGCGTCTGATAGAAGAAAAAGTTGGCTCCGATCTACATATTGTGGGGTCGGGCTCCAAATTCCTTAATAGGACACCCATAGCACAAAAGTTAATAACAAGAATCAACAAATGGGACTTACTTAAACTGAAAAGTTTTTTCTCAGCAAGAGAAACAATAAGAGAGGTAAATAGGGAGCCTACATCATGGGAACAAATTTTTATTCCTCACACTTCAGATAGAGCCCTAATATCCAGAGTATACAAAGAACTCAAAAAATTAAACAATAAGAAAACAAATAACCCAATCAACAAATGGGCCAAAGACCTGAACAGACACTTCTCAGAGGAGGACATACAATCAATCAACAAGTATATGAAAAAATGCTCACCATCTCTAGCAGTCAGAGAAATGCAAATCAAAACCACCCTAAGATACCATCTCACTCCAGTAAGATTGGCAGCCATTATGAAGTCAAACAACAACAAGTGCTGGAGAGGATGTGGGGAAAAGGGTACTCTTGTACATTGCTGGTGGGACTGCAAACTGGTGCGGCCAATCTGGAAAGCAGTATGGAGATTCCTGGGAAAGCTGGGAATAGAACCACCATTTGACCCAGCTATTGCCCTTCTTGGACTATTCCCTGAAGACCTTAAAAGAGCGTACTACAGGGATACTGCTACATCGATGTTCATAGCAGCACAATTCACAATTGCTAGACTGTGGAACCAACCCAGATGCCCTTCAATAGATGAATGGATAAAAAAAATGTGGCATTTATACACCATGGAGTATTACGCAGCACTAAAAAATGACAAAATCATAGAATTTGCAGGGAAATGGATGGCACTAGAGCAGATTATGCTTAGTGAAGCTAGCCAATCCCTAAAAAACAAATACCAAATGTCTTCTTTGATATAATGAGAGCAACTAAGAACAGAGCAGGGAGGAAGAGCAGGAAGAAAAGATTAACATTAAACAGATACATGAGGTGGGAGGGAAAGGGAGAGAAAAGGGAAATTGCATGGTAATGGAGGGAGACCCTCATTGTTATACAAAATTACATATAAGAGGTTGTGAGGGGAATGGGAAAATAAACAAGGAGAGAAATGAATTACAGTGGATGGGGTAGAGAGAGAAGATGGGAGGGGAGGGGGGATAGTAGAGGAAAGGAAAGGTAGCAGAATACAACAGTTACTAATAGGGCATTATATAAAAATGTGGATGTGTAACCGATGTGATTCTGCAATCTGTATTTGGGGTAAAATTGGGAGTTCATAACCAACTTGAATCTAATGTATGAAGTATGATATGTCAAGAGCTTTGTAATGTTTTGAACAACCAATAAAAAAAAAGAAATATTAAGATTTTAAACTTTGGAACTGGAAAAAAAAGAATTAAAATCAGCATACACATTTAAAGAAGAACTTTAGCCACATCAGTGTTTGTAGCAGCTCAATTCACAAAGCCAAGCTATGGAGCCAACCTAGGTGCTCATCCACAGATGAATGGACAAAGAAACATAGTGTATATACACAATGAAGCATTACTCAGCCATAAAGAAGAATGATTTTATGGCATTTGCCAGTAAATGGATGGAATTGGAGACTATCATGCTAAGTGAAATAAGCCAGTCCCAAAAAGTCAAAAGTCAAATGTTTTCTCTTGTATGTGGGAGCTAATCCAAAATGAGGGCAAATTAAAAAAGGAACAGAAGAAATGTCAGTGGAGTAGACAAGGGGGAATGAAGGGAAGGAAGGAAGATAGAATAGAGAAAGACAGTGGAGTGAATCTGACCTCACTTTCATATGCAGAGATATGAATATACCACAGTGAATCTAAGCACCATGTACATCCACTAGACACTAATTAAAAACTTTAATTAATAGTGGAAAGATCAGTAGAGGGAAGGGAATGGGGTGGGAGGAGGGAAGGGAAAGGAGACCTACTGTAGACTGAATTAGAACAAATTATATTCCATGCTTTTGTAATTATTTCAAAATGAATTCTGTTATGTATAACTAAAAAGAACCAATTTTTTTAAAAAAAGGGAAAGGAATGGTTCTTTTTGAACTGAAGTGAGGAACAAAACTTGTCTTTATGTGTCAAGGAACCTACCTATCCACAGTGCTGTTTCTTAGGAAGAAATGAAGGAAAAATAGTATGAAGATAACAGAAAATGCCTGTTAAGACTCAACCAAGAGGTTGTGCCTCCAGAGACTTAAGTCTGCTCTACTTTACAGGCAATTGTAATTTGTGTGTCTTGTAACTCAGAGCAGCACAAATGAAAGTCATTCATCCTGTATCCTTCTAATCATCTGTCTATATAACCTTAGGAAATTTATAAATGAAGAATGAAGGCATTTTCTTTATATTTCCTAAGCTTATTTATTACTGCCTTCTCATGTCTAAGAATGACAAAGTCAGCCTTGCTTTTTAAAAAAGCAAGGCTTTTTTTCTTTAGTATTCTAATGCATTGCTATTCAGTCATGCCCATGGACCAGATCACAAGGGAATAGGTATAAAAATTAAGAGCAACTATTTCTAAAACATTTGTAGGATTCTAACAATACTTTTGCTTTAGCATCAAAACAACCCTGATCTTTTATTTTATACATTTATGTTCACAATGTACTTGGAAAACTAACTCTTCCTTCACCACAGAAGCATTGTTCCAAAGCATGGAATTAAATTGTAGAACACATTGGTCAATTTGATTAAGAAACATGAAGATTTCTTTTAGTGATGATAGTTTCTAAAGTGAATTATTTAAACCTTTTTGCATGTTTCAGCTTTGTTATCTAATAATTCTTGTCTCTAAATAGATGCTGAGAGTGTAAACCTAGATGACTATAACATACATGTCATTGCAAGTGTATTCAAACAGTGGCTTCGTGATTTGCCCAATCCCCTTATGACTTTTGAACTCTATGAGGAATTTCTTCGAGCTATGGGTAAGCACAAGCTTTTGGGTTTGAGGGAAGTCCAATAATTGAGAAAGGAATGCCATGTTTAGCATAGATTAAACCATCCTCTAGTGCTTTAGTCCTTAAAGAATCAAAAGTATGCTTTTGATGGTCAATATGAAACTGCCAGTATACTATCAATTGTTCCAAATGTTCACTTTGTACAGACAGTACACTTTAATTCCCACGAAGAGACTAAAAGACTAGGGTTAGAAAATATTAAGAGATTAAATAGGAGATTTAAGGGTGAACTTAGATTCATTCATTTATTTATTTATTTATTTTCATTTAAACTGTGTATCTAGGCAGGAACTGTGTGAAGAGCTGGCTGGGTGTTTTATGCCAAGTCTAACCGGTTTTGGAGTTTGCTTTCTCAATGCTGTAGGATATTAAGATATTTAGACCTTGAGGATATAAATTATATGACACTTGGCTTATTTTAATGAAAAATCTGCTGCAAAGTAGTTGAAAAACTGGAGCATTGCCCCTTGCTGTATATATATAGAGAGAGAGTTGCTAGGGTATAGATAGATTAAAACTCGGATTGCTTATAAAACTCAAATATAGGTAGTCAAGAAATAACTATGAGTTTCTCTTCTGCCATATAGGTACAACCACCTCTTCCAGAATTCTAGTATAATGTCGGTTCAAGAGGAAGATGTAGCATATAAGAGGAGATAGTCAATGTTATTTACTGTACTTAACTGTTTTTAGGCCTTCAGGAGAGGAAGGAGACAATTCGAGGTGTGTACTCCGTGATTGACCAGCTCTCCCGAACTCATCTCAATACACTGGAACGCCTCATCTTTCATCTAGTCAGGTAACCTCAAGAGCAAGGAATTGTTTCATAGTTTCTCTTGGATTCTATGTAAGTAAATGAAGAGCTTCTTCATTTGGAAGATGGATATGCATATGTGTATTTGCATATATACTTACATATAACATATATATGCAATTTTTTCCTTCTACTTATAAAGTCAGTCCCTCAAATGGGTGTTAGGATTCCTTAGAATAGAAATCCTCAGTTGAGCTGGACTGCATGGCAGCTGCCTCTCTGCCCTTATTTGAGCGATGTAGCAGCTCTGGACTCATGGTTGCATTATGTAACTCAGCCTCTTATCTCACTCCTAAACTAGAAAGAATGTATATCTGTTGACATAACGTAATTCACAGAAGGTGGCCCATGCCTGTAATCCCAGCAACTCTGAAGGCTGAGGCAGGAAGATCATGAGTTCAAAGCCAGGCTCAGCAGATTAGGGAGGCACTTAGCAACTGAGTGAGACCCCGTCTCTAAATAAAATACAAAATAGGGCTGGGAATGTGGCTCAGAGTGGTTCAATCCCTGATACCAAAAAAAAAAGGTTGACTGACTAAAGAGGCTTCAGAAGTTGTCTTTCTTGTCCTATGTGTAAATATCAGCAGTAACTGGAAAGGAAGCCATCTTTTTTCTAGATAAATATCTTATGTGACTATCTTAAAGCCTCTGCCCCACATCCTTCAGACAGGCTCATCTAATGATATCGACATTGAGCCACAAATTTCTCTTAGTAGGCTATTTGCTGACCTAGAATGTTTGAAAGAACAGAGTGAAATTATATGTTTCCAGAGGCAAAGGAACAGCTCTGGAAAAAGCCTACAGTGTCTCCCTTAAACTGATGTTATCCTTCTAGTACTGTGGTTGCCATTATACTGTCTTCTTTTTCTCATCTCTTCTGCCTAATTCCCCTGCTCTTCATCCCTCTTTCACTCATTTTTGTTTGATTTTGTTCCTTAGGATTGCCTTACAGGAAGAAACTAATCGAATGTCTGCTAATGCTTTGGCCATTGTGTTTGCACCCTGCATTCTCCGCTGCCCTGACACCACTGACCCACTACAAAGCGTGCAGGACATCAGTAAGACTACCACGTAAGGCCAGCCATGATCACCTCTGCAAGACCTTAGGGACTTCTGACTCAGTTGGTGTTGTCACTATCCAAATATCAAACGGTGTATGATTTCATAGGTTCATGTATGTTTAAGAGGATTACTGGACACTACTGGATGGGTTTTTTTTTTTTAAGGAAGTTAGTGGTATTTTTTTACTTTATTGTCTTTTATGTGGTGCTGCGGATCGAACCCAGTGCCTCACACGTGCTAGACACTGAGCCACAACCCCAGCCCACTACTGGATATTCTTATACTAAGAATATATACTTTTAAATTCATTTCAACTGAGCATTATCAGTTTTAAAGGATCTTATATTTTTAATCTGGCATTTAAAACTGCTTGTAGTTTCCAAATACATTTTCAAATTCCATCTTATCAAGCTGTACACTTTGTATCTTTCTGTAATCTAGTCTTACTGTAGTCTTATGGCTCCAAATCCCTTTGGTTTTAGTACTTCAGTATTCCTATATTTCACCTTAACTTTTTCTTGGGTTATATTTCTGTGCTATTCTTTTAAACCTTGACTGCAAAACTAACTTTTAAAAAAGAAATACCAGTGCTTAAATCCCATCCCCAAAGAGTATGATGGTTTGGAATGTACACTGGCCATTGGGATTTATAGTTATTCCTTAGGTATTTTCTAAAGTGTAGCCAAATTGTGAGCCACTGTTCTATACCTTGTCTCTGAGCTAATAAAGTAAGAGATATTGATTTTTTTTTTAATCCTATGACTATGTACCACCCTTATCTGAAAAACAGTCTGTTGATGCTATACTTTATTTACTTCTGCTCTTAACAGTTTTCTCTCTTTCCTCCTACTTTCAGCTGTGTGGAGCTGATTGTTGTGGAACAGATGAATAAATATAAGGCTCGTCTTAAAGATATCAGTAGCTTGGAATTTGCTGAGAACAAGGCAAAGACTAGGCTGTCACTGATTCGTAGATCAATGGTAAGATGCAAGACATGAAGACACAAGGGAAAAATGGGAGTCTTTCTGGGATTTTAAGTGTGCATTTGTGATGTAAATAGGGATTATTCTCCAAAGCTTTTTCATAATGAAGATTTTTTTTTTTTAAATCACCAAATCTGTGGGTGCTATGGATGCCTGTTATTTGATCTGTTAACTCTTTTTAGTTATATGTATAGAATATGTGTGAGATTAAATGTGCAGAATTGTTTAAATCAAGAATTTGGATAAAATGTTGGTGGCTTAATAATTTCCCCTGTTTACTTTTCTTGTCCTTTCTATGAAAACCCGATCCTAACTTTTTTCTCTACTTCTTCCACCATCTGTCCCTATACCTTCAATCATGTCACTTTTGGTGGTCCTGCCAAAACTCCTGGGAGTAGAGACCTCAATCATTTGCAACAGGATTTGAACGAAAACATTGATTCATGAGGAAATAGATTTCCATATGAGTCTACTATTATCAAATAAAGATTTCTTTAAGGAATTATTGTTAGGTTAAGCCTAATAAATGGTAATTTATTTCCTTCATTTACCCACTTATGTATTTAATACCTTGTATTGTAACCAGTGAGATATATTTAATTATCACTAACAATTAATAGGATCTGAGTAACCGGAAAACAACTGCTACATTCATGTTTAATTATTACCCGTTTGTTACTCTCCTGACTATAAAATTGTAGTGATGAACAACCACTTCAGATCCCCAGTAAATCTCTAGGCTTCCCCATCATCTTCATAGTTAGATTGGCACTAAATTTATTAAACTACCTACCACAGAATAAGTGCTCAACAAAGGTCTTCTCTAAAAACAAACATAAGTATAGCCTTTTCCCAGGCAGTAAAGACATTAAATAAAATTCCTCATTGGATACTGTCTAAACCTTTTCCCTAGAAACTGAAAACAGAAATGCTATTTCAAAGCAAAACTTTTTTTGTAGTATGAATTTTCAGGAACTCGGTGCCAAGAGGTCCAGTCTAGTAGCACCCACATTGCCAATCCAGCAGAAGATGGAGATATTCAGTTCTTTGAAATATTAACCTTCTCTTTTAATGGGGCAATGACATGTACATTCTAACCTTCTGCTTTCCTTTTCATGCCCTTCCTAATCCAGAAACCTGTACTAATTGCAGTTAGATTTATGAGCATTACCCGCAGTTCAGTCTCGGTATGTATTAATATTGCAATGTGTCACAGCCACTTCACATTATTGTCTCTCATTCATCCAGGAATTGTTCTACTCTGTCTATCATTCATAACTGTCTATCCTTCGTGTTCAACTCCAATTCAGGTCCCACTTTTTGACTAGCCATCACTTCCTTTTCTCTTAATCTCTTTCTTTAGAGCCTTTGTTTTCCTTTCTCTGTATTGTCGAACAATGTTCACTTAAAATATATTGTTTTTTCCTCTTTTTTAGATAAGCTTCCTTTTGAGTTTCTTCTTTGATTGAATCATTAAAAGTTGAAAACATCAAAGTATCAAGTTTATTTCTGCTCTGTGAGCTGTTTTCCTAGCAATCCCGTCCATTTTATCATTTTAAATACCTATTACTACTTCCAACATCTCTCATCATTATTGATGCTTATTTGTTCATTCATATCTGTGATCTGGTGATATCATTCCAGATGTATCTACTTGGCATTTATCAGACAGAGCAACAAGTAGAAGTGAACAAATAGATAAGATTAGTTTAGACTTAAGTATTAATAATAGTAGAGCTCATAGCAGGATTTACTTGATGGTGCACTTCTTCAATTCCATTGTTTATACAAATGAGTACTGGAGTATTGGGAAACTAAGAACACCAATCTACGTGGAATAATTTCAGAGATGCTCTGCCTGTGTGTAACCATTGTATTGTTGGGAAATAAATACACATCCAATTTGCTTTTTGTCCAGTAACTCCCTTTTAATTTTTTGTCAGACTTCCCTTTCCTCACTGGATAATCAATTCCTTAACAGCATCTTGTCACTGTTTGATAATTTTCAAATGCTTCACTCTCATTCTGGTATTTAAAATCAATTCTCTTCATATTAAAATTCAGTCACAGACTTGATCCAATGCTCTTCTCATTTAATTTCAGGACAGACTAGACCTTAGTCTGGGGCTTAAAACTTTGGAGGTGTCTAGGTAGTTCCTATTTGTCTCATACTTCTGTCCTTTATCTTTCTTGTCAACAATACGATTATTATCTTGTCAACACTACTACTTGTTATCAGTAGGCTAAATGAAGATGAGTGGTACCTCCAGTTTACTGATCGTGAGCTCATTCTTATGTCTATAGCAGTTTCTTGTCCCCTTAAGATTTGTTTACATCTTCTAGCTAAATCCTGACTGATGGAATTGATACTATGTGGAAAACTATAAAACTCCCAGGGCAGTTTTCCAAAATTCTACTAGTTGTTTAAAATCTTAAAATTTTATCACTGACATCAAATGTAATTATTTATTTCATTTGAAATAGGTTCCCTTCATAACATTTCAAAAAAATGTGTACCACATTCCCTTTATTAATTATTCTAAGAAATGTTTTGTGAGTAAAGCAGATAGTTCATCTTACAATTCAGACAATTATGGAAATACTCTTTCTTGAGATAACCCTCAGAATATAGCAGAGTTTATAGTATATTATAAAACACATACTTCCATTTTGTCATACGGAAAATAAAAAGTAGCAAACTCAACAGTCATGGATTATTAAAATTAGTTTATACTACATATAAACTAATGGCAACATGACATGAAACTGAGTTTTTAAATTCAGTGCATGATAGCAAAGAATATGATGATGACTAGTATATCTTGGTACCATTGCCTTGATTCACGTATTGATGACAATAGAATTTTTTTTTTAATCCACAATTGCTTTTATCTAATTAGTGCAAATCTCAACAAGTGGAAGGGAAAAATAGCATCTCAGTATCATTATGTAATAGTCTGTATATTGCAGATATTTTAAATGATCTTGGGGATACCCCCACTCCTTTTGGGGAACCTTACATTATACTTTGAGATCCATTGTACTGCAGTACATGTAATATTGATGGCTTACTATACTGTAGAGAATTTTTTGATGAGGATACACACAAACACATACTGTTTATGTTTAAAGTGTTTACCAACCCTCATCAGTGAGCAGTAACTATAGGCATTGAGATGATTTTTTAACATCCTGGATACCTCATTATAATACCGTACAGAACAACCAGTCTTTTTTTTAAATTTTACTTTATTTTTAGTTGTAGGTGGATATAATATCTTTATTTTATTAATTTATTTTTATGTGGTCCTAAGGATCGAACCCAGTGCCTCACACATGAAGGCAAGTGCTTTACCACTGAGCCACAACCCCAGCCCCACAACCAGTCTTTTTAAAAAGATCATGGATGAAGTACTTCTTACTACCAAAATTATGACTTAAAATATTAAACTTAAGAATTCAATATTTAAAAAAAAATTCTTACTAGAAAACCAGACTCCTCAGGAAGTAGTCTAATAATTCACCTTGGTTATTCTGGGTAAAATTTCTTTGTTAGGAATCTTAGATTTGTGCTTCAGCTAGTTATGTATAGTTCTGTGCACATCATACATGGTTCCTCCTCCTCCTCCTCAGATTTTCACTTCCAAATGGACAAACCCCAATTATGTATATTTTTTGTATCTTCATGAAGTATCATAACCTCCCTCATGAGGGTAATATTTCCTACATAGTCATTACATGTGGTAGATAGTGCATTCTTTATCATCATTATGAATCTCTAACAATCCCTCTTGTACTATTTAGGCTTTGAGTCATAGTATTGAATTTCTTTGTGCCTGTCAATTATGCCTTGTCATTTCTTTTTGCTTCCTTTTTTCATTATAAGCCTTATAGCATTTTCAGAAGAAATCAAAACTAGGACTCTGTATCTAGTATATCTTCTTCTCGTCTTCATTGTTATCTCCTTAAGCCTTAGGGGAAAATAGAAATGTTAGGTCCAACTGATGATGACCTTCCATAGGGCATCTTCAATTAGATTCCCCACATTAAAACATTTGACTCCCAATATTTTTGTTACAGTGTATGAAATGGCCTCAGAATTCTGATCCAAATCTGTTTCAGAATACCACTCTTAGGAAAAATAGCAGTACAATTATGTACAGACTTCTTTAGACAAATCTGTATGATTAGGCAACTAAATTTATGGGCATTAGAAAGCAAAAGGAGTTTGGGAGAGAGGAATGAGACCGTTCTGTGTACCAAGTGTGGTCAGAATACTAAGGAAGAAGTACTTATTTTTCTGCCTGGGGAGCACTGAGAAAGGCTGTAGATGAAGTCATAAATGAGCTAGGTCTTAAGGGATAAGTTTGAACTAATCAAATAGAGGAAGACCTGTTGGTATAAATTATACAAGATTTAATCCGGGCGGGGGGGGGGGCAGAACTGTAGCTCATAATTGCTAGAAACAATGTTATGTGATTATACAGAAAGGAGACCCAAAGGTAAAACCAAAATGGCTTTGTTTTGGAATATACTAAGACATTAGGACTATTAGGCCTTAATGAGTGATCACGGACTGGCAAAATCTCATTTATAGATAGTTTATCAATTTAAGTGTTATTGCTTTATATTTTTATATTTATGATAGGGAATTACAAGTTTATCAATTTAAGTGCTATTGCTTTATATTCTTATATTTATGATAGGGAATGACAACTGATGATAGTTTCTCCTTCTGAGTCTCTTTCAAGGTTCTCAGTAAGTGTAACTAAAAGAGATCCTAAGTTTATAGGGCAATCAGTTGAGGTGGATGTAAAGTTTATTTTTATCCAAACAGTGACACCAGAAACAGATTGTTTAAAGTGAATCTACTTTAGTAACATAATTAATAGTTGGTCTAAAAACAAAAACAGTTGGACTAATATGTGTGTACACGTAACTCTGTACCCAAAAAAGGAAAAAATATACTTTTTTGGCTGCCTACAACATATTCTCAAAATTAGGCCATAATCTAGATGGTGGCTGTATCATATTTATTATTTTTCAAACTGTACCTAAAATTTTATATTAAAGTATTAAATATAATTAAAATTAAACATCTGGGGGGGGGGAATCAGTGAAAACTTTCAATGACAAAGGAAATATAAACTTAAAATTAAGTAAATGAAAAAACTACAATAAAAACACTACAAATACGAATCTCTGGGACACACATACACAGTATTCAGAGAAATTTATATTAAAAACTTTAAAATGAAAGTAAACATGTGAATCAAGAAGTTAGAAATATAACAATAAATTTGAGGGTAAAAGGAAAGAAACAGTGAAGATAAAAGCAAAAAATAATAAAACTTTTAAAAAAGATTCTTTGAAAAACAAATCATTAGCTAAGAAAAAATGGTAAAGGTACAAATTAACAAATAAGAAATAGGAATTAACAACAGTAAAAATTAAGGATCATAAAACATTACTACTGTATGAGTTACTCGTTGTATTATAACAAATTAACCTAAAATTTAATAACTTAAGGGTTCAACCAGAGGTGTGGGGTTTGCTTTCAAAATAGCTTATTCATATTACTGGCTTGTCAGTGTTTGCTTTTAGCAGGAGGTCCTTGTTCTTGACAAAGACTTCTCTTCCAGGATACTTGAGCATCCAAATGACATGGTAGCTGGCTTTTTCCTGAGTAACTGATCCAGAGAAGAACAAGGTGAACTCCCACAAAGTGTCTTTTATTCCCTATCCTCAAAAGTCACACACTATCAGGTGTACAATAGCTAAACAGGTCACCACTCTTCTGTTTAGGAAGGGATTGACATATGGACATAGAAATCAAGAAATGAGAATGATTGGAGCCATTTTAGAGGATTTCTACTGTGACTATGAAATGTTTGAAAATGTAAAATTTTATATGCAAATATGCTTCATTGGAAGTGCTTCCAGAATAAACAGAACAATTACCAAAGAAAGTCATCTAACAGCTTCCATGAAAAGCCCAGATACAAATAGCTTTTTAGAGGACTTTTTCCAACATAATTACAATTCAAGCTGTTCTAAAGCAGAGAGAAAAAAGATCTGTTGTTCATTGAAGTGAGTGTAACATTGAACCTTACACAAAGAAAAACTAATAAAAATTGCACTAAAAAATTTTGGACTCTGGAATAGACTTGAGTTTAAATCCTAGCAC